CTTTAACCACATACCGGTCTTTCCCTGTTCTGGTCAAAGCCACTACCAAAAAACACACACACACACCAACAACAATAACAAGACAAAAATAGAAAAGTTACAACATCGCAACTACCCTTTTATTAATACAACTGTACACTTGGGAAAAGACAACGTACAAATCCTTTTAATTCTGGTTGGTAAGATTGCTGCTAGTGGCCTTAATTTGGTGGTACTTAGCTGATTTTAATGTGAAGGATGATGGTCATGGCCCAAATTTTTTTAATCGATCTCATACGATTATTTAAATTTTATTGGTTGCACATTTTTACTCTCAAATTTGTTTCCTTTTCATTTTCATTTTATGTTTCTTAGATTGTACTTAGGTTAATTTTATTGAGACCCTTTCAGTTTTGATCAAATATTATTCTCAAATATCTTTCAAAGTATTATTCGGACCCAATTTACTTTTTCGTTAAAAAAGTACAAAATGATAATTTTATCTCTATTTTTTTAATCTATCTTAATTCAAAATATTAAAAATATAAAATAACCAGATTTTCCTGATTTATTATTCTGTCACCCCCAGAACTTTTCATCTCACTCTTTTCTCCATAAATATATATTTTTTGGTGTACATGATGAGAAACATATATATAAAGAATAATTTTAAAAAATATTTTATAAATTTATAGTTATAATTTGGTTTTAAAAAATAATTATAAATTTATAATTATAATTTGGTTGGTTAAAAAAAATAATTATAAATTTATAGTTATAAATTTGGTTTTAAAAAATAATTATAAATTTATATTTATAATTTGGTTAGTTTTAAAAATGAGATATATATATATATATATATATATAAAGAATAATTTTAAATTTATACAATGAAGGTCAAAGAGTATTCAAGTCATTTCAACCCTTATTTAAGTCAACAGATAGTTAGGAAGGTTCACATGCAAAAAAGGTATCTGACACGCTTGAAAAGTAATTTTTGGGATGTAAGTGAAAAACTAAACAAACGTTTATAATGCGAGTGATAGTTATTTTCAGAAGATAATTTAATGTGATATTCCAAACCTGAGGTGGGTGTCAATAAAATTAACCATAACTAATTTGAATGTTAAAGTTATCAATCCAATATACACAGCATTAAAATTAAGCAATTCATCCTAAGTTATTAAACCGCACATACCACATTATTGACATGCACAATTCAATAAAACTAGTCCCACTTAAATTTGAAAACAATTAACAGCCAATATCAATGGTGCATTTTCATTAGTTGGGAATATTAACAATGTAGTATGCTCAGTTCACTTAATATTTTCTCCTAAAATTTGATTGATGAGGTGTGATATTATATATGACACTCAATAAAGGGAAATCTTGATTTGGAAAAGAGCTTTCTTTATTGTATAATTTTTTATTTGTTTAAATTTTATTTTTCTTGCCAACCATATTTGGTGCCTAATTTTATGTAGTGTTATGATAATGATCTATGGTTTAATGATTTTTTACATCAGTTTGTGTTTTGGCAAGGTTACACACTCGTGACCCTTCAATTGTTGATCATGGTATGATAAATGTGTCCAAGTGCCACCCCTTGTTTATTTGTTAAAAGAAGAGTTTGGTTTGAGGTTTTTTTTACATTTGTGTAGATAATTCTATAAATAAGTGTGTCAACTTTTTTTTAAAGTAACACATTGTAATTGTAATTGTAATTGGGTAGGTACCCAAATGATATGGCACAATATTTATTTGTGTGGAGGAACATTTAGTGTGTTAGAGAGAGTTAGAATATTCAAAAAATATTAAACTTGTAGATATTTGTTAAGTGTAAAAAAAATTCTAGACGAGTAAAGAGTCTTGTAAATACTCGTATTTTAGAAGAGTATTCTAGATGGTGAGAAATGATGCTTATATATATATATATATATATATATATATATATATATGGAAAAGAGGTGTTATTTATATATATATGGAAAAGAGGTGTTATTTATAATCATCAACCTTCGAGAGCAACCCAACAGCAGTAATAGTTATAAGACAGTCACAAGAATTATTGAGAAATTCCCAAATAAAGTTTTTTTTTTTCCGAAACTAATCTCCCTTATCGATGTATCTACGTGAAAGTATCATTTCGAAGCGATCATCCATTGGGCATGGATTCAGACACAACCGGTAAGTGCCATCATTCACACCCAATAATAGATTACGAGGTTGAACTGGGAATAACAAACTCTCGCCCCACAACAAAATGACCGAATATTGTTAACGGATCATACACGTGTCAAAACCCTATAACATTACAATTAAAAACTCAATAAACTGTAGAGTCAGAGGAAGTCATTTAAAGGTTGGTAGTGGGAAAGTTCAGAGTGTGTACGACAAAATAAAATAAAATTACTGGTATCCAATGACGTGGATGACCTGATAAAAGTTGAAAAGTATGTGAAAGGAGGAAAAAGAGGTAGCTTTATCTCTAGTACAAGTCAAACCTCTCCAGCCCAGCTGATGCCACCTCAGCTTTCTTTTCTTCCCTACTTGGCATCGGATTCTTTTTCTGTCATCTCTCTCTCACAGAAGTGTAACACACAAGTATGAGGGCAAATGTTTACTAATTAGCTCTCTCAAAAATTACAATGTTTCAGCTCTTTACATGGAATATAATGGTTGACCCAGTAGATACACGGTGTTTAACATCTCTCCTCACAAGCCTACACAAATATGCTACACCTTTTTCTTTCCTTTTTCCAGAAGGTATAATACGTGCTCAATGTAGTCAACAGATGCTATTTAATGTAAGCATTCTTTTGAAGGAATACACCATATTAACTTTTTTTTTTTTTCTTTCCTTTTTCTGACTAAGCAAACAACTCATACAGATAATGAGAGAGTGGCATTATTAATTATTTCTAAAACATGTAAATATACCGAAACAAGTAGTATATACATGAATTGTTGAGGGCGCTTCTCACTTGATGAACAGTAATGTTTCATCTGTAGATCCAACATACCTAGAGAGAATGATAGAAGAAGGGCAAATTACATTTTCACCTAGTTTAAGATAGAACTTTGCTATCTTAAAATTGTATAAGCTGACCTAAACTATTTTTTCTTTGGTAAGTATATTAAATTTTTTTTTTTACATATTTACAAGAAGCATATCAAAGAAAATAAAAATAAAAATAAAATAACAAGAAAATGGGAAGCAGTCCCATGCAAGTCCAATATAGTATATTTATACATGGTTCATTTTTTTGTTTTCCGATAAGCGAAAAATAGAAAACTTCACAAAAACCTATTTGGTTAAAAACAGCGCTAAAAAGTCTGATTTTAGATAATTTTCTTTTATAATTATCTAAAAAGTAAAAACACTACTTTGTTTTTTTGAATTTTTTTGAATAATTTATTTATTTATTATTTTTTTTTACAAACCAAGCCAATATTTCCGAGAGTACAACAATATTGTCGATGATGAAACACTAAAAAGGGTAAAATCCAGGCCATGCACATGCAGCTATAGAATGAAAACCAGAAGCACAAGTAGAGAAAAGCATGATATCATTACAAAGGAAAAACTCTTCTCAAAGGCCCATTTTTGACCTAAAATTAAAAGCTTTCTAACACTAACAAATTATGCAATTTTGAACTGTGATTCCAATCACATCCTAGTCTCATCTTTAATTCTGAAAACAAACAAGCAAACAAAATGTAGGTATCTTTTATGGGCTCGTATATCCATGATCCTCCCATATAATTATAATCATATTTAGGTTCAAAAGTATGATTTATGGGTTTCGATCTCATTCCATTATATATCTATTGCTCAAGCATCCAGGTTTGGAACTATTCATAACAATCACAAATCAAACACACACAAAAATCTGTGTTGTCACCATCAAATATTTACTCACGGGAACGTGATTTTGTTCAGAAGTTTCTCAGTTTATTGATGGCACTAAAAGATGATAATGGTGAGGAAAACTCAATCAACAAGGAGAACACACACACACACACACACACACACACCCACCCCTCATACAATCATATACAGCATAAAATAATGAAAGAAAGTGTTGGATGAGAAGTTCAAATTTTGGCGTTGTGAATCCAAAATGTTGCATCTGGATATATTTAATCAAGATGAGACAATTTTAGTGTAAGAAACTTGATACCCTCTTACTGGTTGAAATAAGAAGTATTTTCTTGACTTTAGGTTAAAAGTATAAAGAACAAGTGTCGGTTTTCAATTCAGTTTTTTTTTTTTTTTTAAGTGAAACTATCAAAACATTGTTCATTTATAAAAATTCATTTGATTAAGAACTTAATTAAAACTATTATCTCAAAACTAAATAAAAGACCCAATTTATTCATTTGATACAATTAAAAAAAAAATCCCCTTTTTCTTAATGATTTCAATAGTTGACTTCAGACTTCTCACACACACAGACTTGAACTCCACTTTTAAGAGGAAAATATATTATTTCATTACTAAAAAAAATTAAAGTGAAAGAACAAGCGAATAATTACATAAAAAGAAAGAAAAATCAAAACCATGGAACACATTTTTTACCACTTGTTTCATACCAAGAGAGTCGTTAAAACTAAAAGATGACAGTGTAGACGACATAATATTTTTAGAAGGGTTGTTGTAACTTGTAATGTAGCATTATCCTAAGTCAAAAATAAAACAAAAATAAACAAATAAAAATCTTTAGGCTAATTAACACACAAATAAATCTTTTTTCTTTTCACTAAAGTTGCAACAAACTAGTAAGAGAGAGAGAGAGAGAGAGAGAGAGAGAGAGAGATTGTAGTCAGCTAAGCTAACCTGAGACTGAGAATGACACAAAAGGCTTAGGGCTGGTGACTGGTGGTGGCTATGAGGGGTGAGACCTGGAGCTGACAAGCACCCATTGGGCGTTGCAAGCTGTGGTTGCCAGTTATATGTATATATATATACATATACATATACATATACATAGCTACACATCAGCATTCATGATCTACGGTCTACCCTTACACACAGACATAGACCTGTAGCTGTGATATAAGCAAAGATTATCTTCTCTCCTGCAGTGATTTTGTGACAGACAGACTTGGAACTCTACATACATTTATATCTCTACTCATAATCATCACCATTATCGCCGCCGTTTGAAGATGTAGTGCTATTTACCACGTCATTGTGATCACCATCACCATCATTATGATTGACATGACCATTTCGTTGATCTTCTTCAACTACTTCTTGTTCCGGCCCATCTCCACCGTCCATCTCATCATTATGATCATCATCATCAGCTTCTGAGTGATCTTTTAAAAAACTGATCATGGCTCGGCCAACGATGGGGATGGGCTCCGTCAAGTGCTGCCGCCCATCTCGAGGTGGTGAAAACATCACTGGCATGTACTCCTCCGCCTCGCATGGGAATCTTGAGTTCTTAAAGTGCTCTTTCAGTGCTTCCACTCCCTTCATATATTTTTTTACATATAAATATATATATTCATATACACGTATCAACAAACCAAAACCCAAAACTATATAACCTTCCAAAACATATTATGTGCACATACAACATAAAAAATAATAATAATAAAAATAAAAAACTTACAGTATTTCTTACCAAACACAAGTTGTCACACGTCTTAAATGTGTCAAGCTATAAACTTTATTCATTTTTTATTGCATGTAACAATCGAGATCATATAATAATTTCTTATAAATAAGAATTTAATTTTGTAACAGTATTGTGTACTTATTTGAACTTTACGGGAAAAAAAAGTATAATATAATTAACTTAATGTCTATATACATATAAATCTGAACTTTAGGGGGAAAAAATGTGCGTGTGCGTGTGTATACCTGCAATCTGGCGTAGGTGACTTCACAAATTTTTCTGGAGTTGAAGACCTCCCAATTCTGAAGGTGAAAGGCCTTGTAGAGTCTCCATGTGGCCTGTGGGGATGTCATGTTCACGAACCCATATCCCACATTGCACTTGTTACTGTAAATGTCACACCATTAACTAACACACAAAAATGAAGTTTATACACTAATTTAATTGCTGGTTAATTATATATATATATATGTATGTATATATATGCCAATTTTGATTCCAGAAGAGATGAAGAAAATCACATGAAATCAATGGGAAGGTACACGAAATCGTAGGAGGAGAGCTGATCCCCGTCCGCTATCCGTTCATTGCAATGAATACAGTGGTTGTCCAACATGTTCAGCAGCAGCTTTTGACTACACAAATAAATCATACATTTTATTTGATGATATATATATATATATATAAGCCACATTGTGTAGCTACAAAAGTGGCCTTATACGATTTTCAAACTTGTACCAGTGATACTAATGTTCAAGCAAAGAAAGTAGAATTAGTATTGCTACACTTGACAATATCTGATAATACCAATTCGGGGCTTTTATCATTTTCGGAGTAGAATCAAGAAATTAGCTAAGAAAAGAATAATAATTAAAAAAAAAAACCCACATACCTATACTTGTTGGGTATGTTCTTGATCATGACAGTGGTCCTAGTGTCTCCACAATTTGATTCCATGATAGCCTCTTCATTTATTAAAAAACGAGGATCATAACTCTTGGCTTGTCTACCCTTCAATGCCCTACTACTACCACTACTATTCTTTTTAGCCTTATTAACTGCTGTAGTATAAGTACTCTTCTTTGAATTCTTCTTTGGAGCCTCATTTCCATTTCCAATTGTACCCTCTAAACACACAGAAGCCATTGAAGCTTCAACGTCCCCATTAATCGTGCACTTGCTGCCTTTACCATAACTCCATTTCTTTGTCACGGCGGGCTGGCTTCTCGAATTGTAACATCGCGGTGGCACATTGGGGTGACCGGATAATTTACGTGGCGGTGGCGGTGGCGGTGGTGGTGGTGGCAGGCAATGTGGATTCCTACTAGGGTAATTGGGATTAGAATTGAAGTGGTGGAAAGTGTTTTGTGTGGTGGATTTTGAGAACCTCTTGCTATGGCCACCGGGGCGACTGAATTCGATCACCACATGCTTCCCGCCGATTTCCTTTCCGTTCATCTCCTCAAGAGCCTTGGCTGAATCTCTCACGTCGTAGAACTCCACAAACCTTTGGTGCCTCTTTAATGGTGTCTCTCTCAGTTCCTTCACTGGTCCTACAATTTAATCAAAAATGGAATCAGGAACACAGAGTCACACACACATGTGAGTATGTGACTTTTTTATAAAAGGCAAAATGGCATATGGAAAGTGAGGAAAGAGACCCATCAAAAATTAACAAAATGGCTACAAAATTTCCAACATATGTGTATATATATATACAAACAAAATTAACAGAAGCTCTTTCTTCTTCATGTCGTTGACTGACAATTCAGGCCAATGTAACACGTGAGTGAACATTAAATTCACATAAGGTTGATACATACGAATGTGTGTGTGTAATAACCAAAAAATAATTCATACCAAAAGCTTGAAAGATTTCTTTGAGATACGCGGTGGAGACATCTGGGTCCAAATTGAAAATCACGAGGGTTCCCTGGTTGAGACCGCCGGGGACGGCGGCCATCGGTGGAATCATGAACTGGGCCCACACGGCACGACCGGAAATGAGCCCACGCGCCGCCGGAGGCGGCGGCGGAGCTACGAAATTCATTGTCTCGGGGACCGAATTCTGCGCCCACAAGGCGTCGAAGTGGCGCCTAAGCCGGCTCTGCTGCTGCATGTGCTGCTCCCGAATCGCCGCCATCGCCGCCTGCGCGTTTCTCAGGTCGTAGAAATGGACGGTCACGATTCCGTGACGCACTCGCTCCATCTGGACGGCCCTCACGTCTCCGAACACCTCCAATTCCCTCCTCACCGTCGATTCGCTCACGTCGGCGGGGACCGAGCTCAGGAGAAGCGTCCGAGACGGGGCCGCGGACGGCGGAGGGAGAGGAGGGGAGTTCACGGCGAGGGGGCTAACGTGCGCCGGGGGAGTGGGGAACGGGGGGTACAGTACGCCGCCACCGTCGCAGATGGGCATGAGTTGGAGTTCGTTGAACGGGTGGTAAGGAGGGAAAGGGTACGGATGGTAAATTTGAGGTTGAACCGGGGTCAAACTGCTGGGGCTGTACGGGTGTCTCGGCCGGAACTCTTGTGCCCTGGGGTCTAAGTTTCCCGGAAACCTCACCGTACCGGTTTCGTCCATGGCGGTTTTGGGTAGAAAACCAGCGGAGAGAACGGCGAGAGCGGTTTTCCGGTGAGGTAAAAGCAAGTCAAGTACGGTTTCTTGGCTGGGTTCTGAATCGCCGGCTCTCGTTATATTCCATAGCTTATTAGCTTCCCGAGTAGCTGCAGTACATTTCTTTTTCTCTCTCTAGACACACACTCTCTCTCCAAAAACACAGACACACTCAATCTCTCTCTCTCTCTCTAGACTGTCTATTTCTAGTCTAGTCTCTCTCTGCCCTATATATGTCCAGGAGAATTTGGATCCTCTATTAAAAAAAAACAACAAAAACAATTAAGGAGTTTCCATTCCACTATACTTCCTTTTGAACCAAAATTTTCTAAATCAAGTACTTGTGTTGAAATTACCCTCCTGACCTTTATAATACCCTTTTTGTGTGGCCCCTACTTATACCCATTTGTGAAAATTGCACTTTCCCAATTTTCAAATTTAAATGAGTAGTTATTTAGAAATTATTTTCAGCCTCTTATCGAATTTAATTTATGTGAACGTAGTAATAGTGAATCTCATCAACAACGTCACTGGACCTCACCACTCAGCTCACATAAATTAAATTCAATAACTATCAAAATTGTTACTTAAATCATTATTCATTTTAATTTTCTAATTTTACTCCATCAACAATGACAAATAAATTGAATTGTTTATAAATAATTTGAAATACAGTGTCTTAAAATCTAACCCGAAATCATTCTGTAATAAACAAATTGACCTAAAACTTGATTTCTGAACTTATTTGATCAGTGGAAGACATGGCTAAATCTAAGCTTCAATATGTTCGAAAGGAGAATTTGGTAGGATCTTTGTCCTTAACTTGTAACACTAACACTAAGCTCGTGTAAGTTTATATTGAGTACTAGTATGGATATACAATTTTAACAAATATTTATTTCTGATTTATCATGTCTTTGTAAGAAAGTATAAAATTAAAATATACTGAAATTATTTACACGCCTGTTAATTTGTTGTTGTAAATATTTTATTAGTAGCATATATAAGCCAAGCAACCTCGAACACGATCACAAACTAAGCTTAAGTACGATTAGAAGATTGAATTCAACTCGTTTATTTGATCAGACGATGACATGACTAAATTTAAGCTTCAATATGTTCAAAAGGGGAATGTGGTAGGATCTTTGTCCAGCGTGTAAGTTTGTATTGGGTATAGATGTACAATTTTAATATATATTTATTTCTAATTTTAACATATTTGCCAATTAATTTGTTGTTGCATATATTTTATTGGTAGCATAAATAAGCCAAGCAACCTCAACCAAGCTTAAATACGATTAGGAGATTGAATTCAACTCGTTTAAATGATTCAAACAACTCAAGCTTTTCAAAATCATAACCAGCAATAAATTTTTTTTGAGTTAGCTAAACCCTAAAACAAACGAGTTTGTCAAAATAATTAACACAGAGTTTATTTACAACACTAATTATACCACGATATAAATTGAAGTTAAATTAAACAATTTGAATTGGGAGTCATCCAAGTTTGCATGCAACCTATTTATTATTGCTATTATTAATTAAAATAGTAGTAAATCCATCATAACTCAACTAATCTATCAAATTGATAGTACCACTAGGGCATTGGTCTGGTGGTAATTTTTTTTCTTCTTCTTTTATGCTCAATTTGGTAGGAAGGAATAAAATTAGATAGAAGAGATTAATGAAAAATCACTCCAAAAGAAATTGTGTCCTTTCTTTTCTTTTCTTTTTCTTTTTCATTTTTGTTCATTTTGTTGGAAGAGAAAATAATGATATAATAGATATGAGTTTCCTTTTTCTATTAAAGTAAAAAATTGAGGTTATAAGAATAAAATGGATGTGAGTTTCCTACAAAAAATAAATAAATATATAAACAAACTCGAATTGAACGTCTCATTAAACGAAAATCAAGTTACACTCTCTCCGACTAAAGATTTTAAAGTAATGATTTAGACTTGGAGAATCAGATTTCAGTTGTTTTATATAAGTTAGAGCTGATGTTAGCGAAACGTTAATGTCAATATTTACTCCTATTAAATTAATCTAAATTATTTATCTGTTGCATTCCATACATGGTTCACAGTTGCAGTGTAATGGACTCTAACGCATATTAATGTAAATCAGCAAGTTTTCTGAGAGGTGCAACGCTATCGAATCCTTGAAAATGAGTTACGAACCTACCGAAATGTCGCGTATCGATCAGTATTACGAACCATATCATTATTAAAAATTTCAGTAAGTTCATGGAGATGTGTAACGTTATCGGACCCTTGAAAAAGATTTACGAACCAACCGATACATCGCGTATCGATCCATACGGCCAACCATATCATTACTCAAAATTTTTATACATCTAAATTAGAACTCGAATTGACTCATCAGTCTTGCCAATCTGTCATTGTTGCACCTTATTTGTGAAAAGAAAAGCGCGGGAGGAGGATGGAGGTTGAAGGTACATTCTCCAAAGGCCAAAGGAGTTGTTTGTTTCCCCCAAAACATGGCGGGAGAGTGTACTCGTATAATAATTGTGCTGGTGAATATGTACTATTTTTCATGTTGCTATGCCATTTTGACTAGTCGAGTATGTACAGTGCTTTATTTTGTGTACGTATATTATTAACTCTAGTGCCTCAGTTTCTCTCTACAATGTACGTATATGTAAACATGTTCGTGTCTTGGTCTGTTTCATTCACATTGACCTATTCCCCTCTTGCTCCGTTGTGGTTCAGGTTTTGTTCCATCATTAGAATACAAAATTATTGTATTGAGTACTTGAAGTGGATTTGTCTGGTTAATTTTTAAAAGAGTTTTCACTTTTCACACATATATATATATATATAATTAATTAAACTTTAATCATGAATCGTGATCTTATTTAATTAATCAATTAAATTAAATTTGAAGAGTCAAAGAGAGAAAAAAAAAAAAATCCGATTGAATAAGATTAGTCCTTTTGAAATTAGTTCAATCTAATTTGTTGAATCTAACAATATATGGTTCTCATTTCTCTCAAAAAAAATAAAAAATTCAATGTGAAATTGGGATTGTCAATATCTTGAATTATTATTCATTTTCAACATAATTACACTGAATAATTTTATTAAAAGAATCATATGCTAACAAGAGTGATGAGCTCTTTATATTTAAGTAGTATTAGGATTAATTTGAGACTGTTTTTCAATATTTGTGAAATATTAAATGAATCATTTAATCTCTTTATATTTAAGCATTGATGATAAACGAATAATTGTTATTAAGAGAGTTATTAATGACAAGAATAGTGGGTTTTTCATATTTAATATCATACTATTAGTATTATGATTATGATTATTATATATATATATATATATATATATATATATATTTGTGATGTGGTAAAAAGTTAAAGAACAATACTTGGGTCCAGGTTGAATGAATGCTAACGTGGTCCTATAAAATTGTGACGTTAAAATTAAATATAAAATTAAATTAGGCATTGTTTAACTTTTGCTTTTTGACATGTGTTTTAAATTTTAACTTTTGTTTTTGAATACTTGTTTTAAATTTATTGAGCCACATCAACCTGAGTTGGACCAAAGTATTGTTCAAAGTCAAATAAACCATTTAAAACTGATTTTTAAATTTTTTAAAAAATCAAATGAATCATTTAGTACATTTTTCAATCCAATAACTAAGTATAGAGAAATAATAATTAGTAGAGAGTCATTTGAATAACATTATTCAATTGCAATGAGACTTTTTATCTAAATGAAAGACAATAGGTTCAATTTATAACTCAGGATAAGATGCTATACAATTTTAATTGGTCCACAAGATCTCATTAAACTGTGCATTTTTAAATATGTTATAATTTTCCACTGTAAGATTTTTTTTTTTTTTTTATTTAATTTTTTTATAACTGATGTAATACAATAATAAAATAATATATGTTCATTTTAAATTTAAAAAATATATATATATATATATATATATATAATTTTTTCCATTCTTGTAAGATCCTTCTTCGGAGATAACAAAGACCATCAAGAGGGGCATTTTTTGTGCTTTAAAAACAAGGACGACAGTCAATGCTATCCAATGTGGAAATTTTGACTCATTTAATCCGGTTCAGTCAAGCTATTGTATCTGTCTTTATTAATTTCTAATATATGGTGCCTGGCGAGAAAAAAATCACACGTGTCTTCCTTATTAGATTCTTGGATTTAATGAAGAACACGAAAGGACAATTAATGTTGGAATAACACATTTTTGTTTGTTTGTTTTCATGGAAAACGAGGATAAAGGTTAATTTTAGGTATTTTATATTCATTTCTATTTAACTAATTCGCCTTTAAATCTTTTTTTTTTTTTTTTTGGTAGATGCTTTGTTTGAAAAATATGTTTAAGGGTAATTAATCACATGTTTTCAAATTATATATATATACTACGAGTATTAATTATAAAAGCTCAAATATATATATATATATATATATATATGAGAAAACGTAAAACACACATTACACAATATTCAAAGATTTATGTCATTTAAAGTTTAACGTACAGTTCAAATTAATTAAAAAATTTCACTATATAATGAAAAATGGAGATTACGAGTTCTCGCACCCTAACTCTTCTTCCTCCCCTTGCTCTTTGTTTGGCTGTCTATATTCTCACATACCAACCTTACAAATCCTAGCATTCATATTTAATGAGTTATAATAGAGCCTAGATACCAAATTTTCGACCTGGAAGACAAAATGGGTTCAAATAATTTTATTTTATTATTATTTGAAAAAGAAGAAGAAGCATAACACAACTAAAATCGGGTCACACAAAAAACCGGTGAAACCATTAAGAACCAGAAAACCGTTAAGAATCGGAATAGACCTAATAATTATATAATTACTAAAATATATGTTTATAGTTACCCAAAAGATATATATATATATATATATGCCTATTTATGTTTGTTTTGCTGTAAATGTGGCCCAAGGTCGAATAATCACATGTTTTCAAATTATAAATATATACTAAATAAAAAATAAAAAAATGAGAAAACGTAAACCACACACCACACAATATGCAAAAATTTACGTCATTTAACGTATAACCTACTGTAAATATTGATTAAAAAATTTCACCATGCAATGAAAAATCGAGATTACGAGTTCTCATACCCCCAACCCTTGTTCCTCTCCTTCCTCTTTGTTTGGCTGTCTATATTCTCTTTTCTGAATTTCTGACCTGGAAGACAAAATGGGTTCAAATAATTTTATTTTATTATTATTTTTTAAAAAACAAAAACCCTGAGACAACCAAAATCGGGTCACATATGTAGGAGTGCACAAAGAACTAGTGGAACAATTAAGAACCAGAATCAGTACTTCGATTCCAATTCTTAACGGTTCCGGTTCCAAAATTTTGAAACAGTTAAGAACCGGAACAACCCTAATAATTATATATATTATTTTTTAATTATATAATTACTAATATATATGTCTATATTTACCGAAAAGATATATATATATGTCTATTTATGCTTGTTTGGCCGTAGATGTGGCCCAAGGTCAAGTCAAGATATTTCTATAAATAAAAAAAATAAAACAAAAACAGGGGGTCAGAATCGAATCGAATCGGTTCGGTTTCGGTTCCATATTTCAGTGGTTTCTGTTCTAATTTTTAGAAATTGTTAAGAATGGTTCCGATTATTTTAAAAATTGTACCAAACCGAACCATATGCACACAAAATCCGGATAACCGCTTAAAAAAAAAGAGTAAAAACCTTAAGACAACCATTGTTCTAATCTCATTCTAAATCTCTTCCATTGCAATGACTGCCCGGCGCCACAGAGATTTGATTATGGTGTTAAAAGTTACACATTTAGTTCTATAGTTTTAAAATTAAAGAAACTTCTAGTAATAAAGTGCAAAAAAGTTGCAAACTACTCAAGTACCCATGTCTAGAACACGTGTGCCGGAAATTGAGATTAAAATAAAATCTCAAGTCCGACATGTGATTTCCAATGCCTCCACCACCTTAATCATATTAGTTTTATGTTGTCTTTGTTATTCTCTACGTCCATGTTTTCCTTTTGCATTATATATATATATATATATATATATATATATCTATCTATCTATTTGTTGTCAATACAATTCCATGTTATGTGAAGATGGTACATCATATTGTAATAACAAAGATCTGGAAAGTATTAAGTATGGGGTCCCTCTCTGTTCACTTGTCCTTAAAGGTTTTGGTCACATGAATATGAATTTGACAGAACCATATAGGGCATGATTTTACAATTCCAATTTAATTGACCCGGGGCTGCCACTGCAGTGACAAATCATATAAAGTAAAAGTGGAGAGCAAATCATATATATACTTTGCATATATACATACATATATATATATGTGTGTGTGTATTGTCTAAATATATTTCTTTAAATTATAATTAGAAATTCAATATCCGTAATTGAGTTAGATGTCTAATTGCAAACAAAGCATATGCTCCAAGGGCATTCAAACTATTGAGTTAGGGCAATAGTGGGTTTTTCTGTAATTTCAATAGAGATAATATTAAAATTTTATAAAACTCGAACCCTCACGGCTCTTTTAAAAGAGAGATTATAACAGTGAACTAATCGTCCTCTAATTATTATTATTATTATTTTCAAGACAAGAAGCGTTAGAAGTTAGATTAGTAGGCGTAAAAAGTTAAAACCAGACACTCTAAAGTTCACCAAATCCACTAATATATTGGGTTAACAAGACATCTTCATGGTCCTCTATTTATTTAATATTCATATTTGTCTCATTCAAAAGCTTAATATTAATTAATGTTCATGCAGTAGCAGCTAGCTTACTAGCTTATGTAGTTTGTGTTCCCCATTCTTTCACATAGATCATGGGTCACAATCCTCTCTCTCTCTATATATGTATATTATATATAGATATATATCAATAATTATATTTGATGCTACAAAAAGTAAGTGAAAGGGATGTCTCCCCACCCTTTTAAAGACGTTTTGCTGCAGTATGTTCCAAGTCCAAGCACACAAGAAACATTCCCTTGTGTTGGTGAGTCAGCCCCACCCACATTAGCCTTTCTATGAGCACCTCAGCATTCAACATGTGCTCTCTACTCTTCAATTATCAAACTAAACTTTGCCTAAAAGGAGGCAATTTTTCTGCATTTACCTAACTTTTTCAATGGTGCAGACTTCCAGCTAAACTGTAAAGTCTTTGGTGAAAAAAAAAAAAAAAGAAAGAAAAATGATAAGATCATGCACCCTTAAGGGACATATATATACATATATGTGAAGTGTTCATCACTGGGAGAAGACAAGGAAACACAAGATTCGAATTAAATTCCATGGTTCTTGCAGTGGTCCATTTTCCTTTTAGATGTCATTCAGAAAGTGCTCTTATGCTCTTCTTGATTGCTGAGAAATTGCAAGAAAAGTATTCACAAACTAGAAATCTTTTGAAGGGTTGAGCTTCTCTATTTCTTTCCATCTTTTCCAATGTTTTCTCACAAACCAAACAAGCACAATAACTATTTTTTGAAATAGGAGGGGGAGAAGGGAAAGACAATTTCAGAACATTATGACCCTACTGGCCTACTTTTAACAAATAATGGTCTCACTTTTCACCAATGGTAAGTACTGTTAGGCATACAAAGTGCCTGAAGTTCTTCATTCTTTTAACACTAAGGGTCTGCGAGTGGGACAAGATATGTGCATTGGACCATACTTATCTGCTTCCCTTGTTTCCAGGAATGTTAGCCTAATTTGTGACCTAAAAGGGAGGCTGCCATCACCATTCTAAGTATTGGTCTAATATTTTTTAGGGTTAATGAAGAGCATTATAATCTCGGAAATGCCGTCACACGCCGTGTCCCGGGATGGTGCTTTAATTGCTGTGTGTTGGAGATCATGGTTTCATACCTACTTTATTAACTTGGGAATGAGATTCTAGATGGCTCAATTATATGTTATATGTTAATCGCATTGTTTATTCGAAATTAACACTGTGATCAAGAATGTTCATACATAAAATTATATGGCAAGCCCAATGCAATGACATAGTTACTTTTCTACTTCCCAGACAAGCACAAAAACACAAATGCTTTCTTTGTCATGATGTTCTTGAAGGCATAACAGATAAATGAGATGATCTTTAATAGATAGCAAAGCACCAAAAGTTGCCAGTAGTTTCAGGAATCCAAATTGGAAATCTTTCTGAAAGAAAAAATTAATGGGCCCAAACTTGATTTTGCATAAGAATACAATCTGACCCCCAATGATAAGTTACCTGGTTAGACTATTAATCATTCACTTGTGGGCCCTAATTCCTCTAATTGTCTTGTGCCTAACCAAAACCAAAACACACACACACACAAATTGTTGTGTGTATGTATGAAATTAATGTGCCTCTCTCCTGCTAATGCATCAAAATTTTCTGAAAAATACATGTTTAGGCAGTATGCCTACCCAATAAAAACACCATGGCAGTTCAATGGTACTATGCACCAAGAATTACTGTTGAAGAAATTTTCACCCACGGCAAAAGGTTGCCCAAGCCAATGACTTCAAGAATTCAACACACCTTTGTCCTTGGCCAAACTTAAATCCTTCCTACACTGGTCTCAAAAGTCTTTCTTCATCAAGTAATCTACTAGACCTCGAACCCTGTCCAAAGAGTTGGGAGTACAAGTAGATTCTGAACCCAAATAGGCTTGCAAGGATTGGTACTGGCCTCAAAGTGACAACAGATACAACAAGGCTAAAACCCCTTTGTGAACCTACACAAACCGATCACAACCTACTCTTATCCGAACTGAGCTAATTTTTCTTTTCTCTCATGTTTTCATAGGAAACTGAACAAAAGGCTGAATTACGTAGTATTGTCTTTTCCTTTCTCTCATTAAATCTGCAAATCAAACAAAGCATTTGATCCTATCTCCCACTCAGGACCAGTACGAGGTGATAAAACATTATTGTAATAACATCTATCAGATGCTAACTAGTGGAGTGCCTACATGCAACATGATGCAATAATTTCTCATTATGATTGGGACGATCACCAACAGTAATGCAATTTATAGTATGCTATGGCTTAAACTATCAAACTCAGGTTTGATCAAGCGTAATGCATTGGTGTCCAGACTAACTAGTTAGTTGCTTGTACCCACAAGCCAATTCACAGCACAAAGTTCCTGATTATTTTTAATTTTTTATTATTTTATTTCTGTATATATATATATATATATATATTGCTAGACTAACATGAACAGACCAAGTAACTCTGGCATGCGAATCAAGAATATGCTGAGGAAATGAAAAAGGCAAGATACAGATTGCATTGCACAAATCAAGTTTCATTTCCAATATAATACATAATTCAAAGTATTCATGTAGAAAATAATGTCTGTATATATATTTTTTTGTTCTGGAGAACAATTTATTCACCGTTCTTTATTTTTGAGTGTGTGGAAGTAAGACTTGTACCGCTGCGCTAAACCAAACATGCCGAGTGTACCACCAGTGTGAAGCATCACTACTGCTGCACCTCCTTTTGCCGCCTCGAGGCCAAGTTGTGTAGCTAGTTCCCAAGCAGCTAATGTATACACAGGATCCACTGGAACACCAGTTTGCTGAGCAATTTGTTGGCATGCCTTAACTTCTCCTGTCAACACATTACCAAACCTGAAAGGTAGAACAACAAAGAGACCTCTTGATTAAGAATACTTATTCAAACATATACAACTCAACACAAAATAAAAATATGTAGTGTGGGGTAGGATTGTATTAATTGGCAAAAGAGGGGAGAAAATTTTGAGGGCCGTACACGCAGGAGCTATTTAGCATTCCATATAAGATAGAAGTTGTATCAGAATCAGGCAACCAAGAAAGTATAAAATAGGGTTTGACAGAACAAAGTACACTTAAATGCAATACAGAACTTGAACCAAGGTGTCATAAATCATCAGTGAATGTTTTTATTTCTATTCTTTAATTCACATGTTAAAAGAAAGTATCACTGTAAAAATGTGCAATACAACATCATAGAAAACGCAGATACTTAAATTGTGATGACAAAATGCTGCTCAAATTAATTGTATAGTTTGCATTTTGGAAATGTTAACAACCAACTCCTCTAAAAGTTTAAATTGTCAAAGATGGTGGCCAACCAAACACCCACCATAAGGACACCATGAGCTCAAGTTGTAATTGTTGGAATAATGCTGAGATAAACATTACCCTCTCAAACATAATGATAATACTTGATTGCACTAAAAGCTTTTAGAGGATGTGGACTATTAAACCTATCCCTTACCCCCTAACCAAACACATGCAGAGGAAAGTAAAAATAAAAAAAATAAAAAGAACAACCACCACCACGGCAGCAGCAGAAAAGAGAAGTGGAAGCTGTTGTCAAGGCCATACGCATAGCACTTACTTTCTCGGGCAGCTACGTTCTACCCAGTGCACAACTCCACCATTCACTCTGCTTAAGACTTCATCCACAAGAGGAAAAGCACAACACCTCCGGAAATCAGAAACCAAGCGTTCTTCCTGTTTTCTGTATCCATCTATAGAATCAGCTAGCATCACCGCAGTTACCTCCCATGGGAGCCTAATAGAAAAATGGGGGAAAGAAAAGGAAAGAGAAGTGATTGTTCAAGTGCTGCTGCAATACTAGGTTCTATAATGCTCAGTCTTATGTGAACGTATTAAATCAGCCATAAGTTGATGAACACAAACCCTAAACATATGGACCCAAGTCCTAGACCAACAGCTGTTGTCCCAGTACCAGCATCAACAACAAATTTTAAGGCCTGCTCTTTTCCAAGTAAATGATTCTGGGATAAATACTGAACAAGGCGAATTACACCTGTGAGAGAGAGAAACTGTTAAAAAAATAAATAGATAGATAAATAAATTAGCATAATAACTGTATCAATTAAGTGGCTACCATGTCAATGAAACAAGAACGAACAAAGACAAACAAATAAACAACTAATGCAAATTTGACAAATACATCAGATGGAAGAACAACCAAATATATCAGCAAACAATATGAAGTAAACATTCTGAAGGTAGGTAAAAATTAATTTTCCTTGACCATTCTATTTAGTACACCGCAAACCATGAACTGGTGGTAATTTGTGAATCAGCATTTGCATTCCTATCCAAGAAAAAGAGAATCAACAGGATGACCATGACCATATGCACATATATTCTTGATTGTTTTGGAAATATTTCCTCAGATCAGTTGGAAGGATTTTTATTTTTTTTTTCAAAAATTATTACTCAAAAGGTCAATATGAGCTATACCTTACATCATCTATAATACAATGTTGATGTTACAAGCACATTTGAATGACCCAACAATTCTATTTTTTCTTTTTTTCCTTTTTTATGCAGCAAAAAGGACCATGTGGCTACTTGATTTCAGAAGCCATGACCAGTTTACCCAAGCAGCAGGATCTGTAGCATAGCTCATGAGACAACCCCTGCCCTCTCATGCACACCTAAGCACATAGATAACATAAGCCAGCAGCACTATAGAAGCATTAATGATTCCAACACAATAGGCATCATTCCCGTACGCATTCCAAGAAGTGCAGCGCCAATGCTTAGCCTCCGTGCATGGTATTGATCCATAATCGTGTTCTTCGAGCCACTTGATTCCATGTGCATGTCTGAACCCAAGACAAAATTCCATGTTTGGGCACACGACATGCTAACAGAACACAGACAGTCCACTTGACTAGTATGCATGCCCCTTAACCCATAAAGTTGCCACATAGGCATAGTTCAAGCCTCCAACCCAAAGGCTTTGCGCAATGCCAGCGATCCAAGGCCCTCCGATGGCATTGTACATGGGATGAGCTCTTTGCTCTCACACATGCAAATAAAACATGCAAACAAAGAAATACAAGAATACAATTTTGCAATCACCTAGTAATCCTACAGCATCTCCAGCGCCTTCATTGACAATAACAACCTTTTTTGAATTTTCAGCATGTCTATGAGCATTAATTCGCTCACAGTCTGACTTTCCAGATGTTGGGACTGTAAAGGAAGCCTCAAAGATATCGCTGAGCCGTATAACAGAATCGCTGCTGCCTGCCAACAAATTTGCATGCCTTGCAATCATTTCCTCCCTCTTTGCATAAAGAGATCTTGGAACATAAGTAACATTTCCATATAGCATGGAAATAAGATTGTAGCCAGTAGGAATTTCAGGCTGTTCTCCTCTGAGAAGCAAATGTGAAGTCAGTCCTTTCTCCGCACATGAAACAGCTGCCATATCCATATGTGAAGCCAATGATTAGAAACTTCATTCTAGAACTCAATTCAGCAAGATAATGAAGCTGAATTTCAAGGAAACAAAAATCAGGAAAAATGTATTACTGCAAGAATGGACTACCTACCAACAGCTGCTGCATGTGCACTTTGGCAACCTCCACATGTAACCTAGAAAATGTCCCAATTGGATATTACATGATCCTGGAAGTGACTCAAAATCCTAGGAATAAGTCTCAAAGGTGCTAGGAGCCTAGGAGTACACAAATCACGAAAAAAAAAGAAAAGAAAAATGCAATAACAATGAACAGCTGAGACCCAACAATAAAATAAGCTCCTCTATGCTAAAAGTAAAACTGACACAATTCAGTATCAAATAAGTCTGCGTCAATTTTAAAAGTCTATATTGTGTACTTGTTCCAAGTGTGCAAGCCGACATAGAGAACATAAAAAAATTTCGTCCAAGACTTGTTATTAGGTATTCTCATGCTCACAATCCCATCAACTAAACATGGTCAAACCCCTGAATTTGTGCCACATGCTTGCAGATAGAAATGTCGCTTATCAAATTAGAAAATAACTGATATTCCTAAACACGTGGCAAGTAAACGAAGAGTCTATATTTCAATTCAACAAACAAGTACATCTTACAGAATTGAGCTGCTGTGAACCCAGAATAAATATGAACTCACCACATCAGTTACTGAATGATCTTCAATGAGAGGAAACAGTCCATCCAGTTTTCTTGCCTTATTACCATTTACCAGTGGGTGCAACAAATCATCCCTCACAACATAAAAGGACGGGCGGCATTGATTGCTATTTTCCACAATACTATCACCCAAAGATGGATGAGTATTGTTTATGAATGAGAGATTTCCAAATGGTCCGCCTCCATGTTGTATTTGCATGTCAGATACCATTACTTGGTGAATTTTGGCATCTGGTTGTGGCAATGTCCATCTTCTGTCAAGTAACTTTGCTATGAAGTCTTTACCACACAGTTTGACTCCGGAAACACCCTAAAATTGTTGGAGGAAGTTGATCAACTCCGAATCACAAATGAAACAATACTTATTTCTTCTAATCGAATAAGAGAGCCATATGCATATTGAGAATTCAAGAAAATGCAACATGTTCAGAAATAGAAGAATTTAACTATGAGGGATAAATTGTACACATAAGAAATCCCTGTGACCTCAACTTGTGAAGACAGTGAAGTATAGACAATAGCACAACAATTTACAACTATCAATCACAAACAAAAGCTCCCCTCGAGCCGGTATATGCACGTACCCTATGATTTGGACAATGAGGGCTAACAACTAGCCTAGTGCACGAGGCTCCCGCCATTGCGGGTATTGAGGAGAGTCAGATGTATGCAGCCTTACCTCTGCAAAGAAGTTTTCAATTTCGAACCCGTGACCACTAGGTCAAAATGGAGCAACCTTACCATTTCATGATTTGGACAATGAAAAATTAAATATTCCTGCCTCACTTTGAAGTGCTGTTCAATGTGTTCCAAACCATAGCCTAATTTGATGCTACTTTGTGTTGAGATGGAGCAATCATGAATGACCCAAATTACTTATCCAAGAAAAAAGAAATCTACTTGCAAACGGCATTTGATTTATAAGGATTGTCAAATCAGAAAAGTGCCTCTACATAATTGGCCTTCTGTTATAGCCATCCAATGTGAAATTTCTCTGTTTGAACTGAGAACTTTGTGTTTCCTAATATCTGATAATCACAATCATTACCTTGTTTAGTTCACTAACGGGTTTTATTTGCACAGACTAAATTCCAGTCATTACATTATCTCTGACCCATCGTTCCAACTTTACTGTTTTCACTAATAATCAGTTAATCAGATATAAACCCACCAAGAATTCAATTAAAACATTGTTGTATTGAATCCATAAATATGAAAAAACATATTATATACATAGAGAGAGAGAGACGGAGACCTGAAGACTATTTGGGTATTGCCCAGAATGAAACTCGTTTTTCAGGGCTGCAATGGCAGAGTTCCTCGGTAGGTTTTGAAGTTTCATTTTGTGCTTCCGACCGTTCAAGCCTTCTGTTCTTTATAGCCCAAAAGCATGGGATTTTAATCATTTTATATAATTTCAGGGAAACCCATAACAGATGATGGTATCACTATTGGCGCTCCAGAAAGTGCTGCGCGCACTCTTTTACTTCTGTTCACAAAACTACCCTTAAAACTCCGAGCCTCCAAGGAGGGTTCGATCCGGACTCCAACCAATATAAAAAAAATTTGGAGTTTCAAACTTAAACTCGAGCCTCCTGGCGTATTTGGTAGAGTTTTCAGTTTTTATTTTTTATTTTTCAGTGAGTGATTAGATGTGATCATATTCAAGTCTTCTTCTTTTTAATATTTTTATTAAATCAAATCGGATTAAATTAGAATAATCATATACATTATGAAACTTGATTAATTTAGAATAGTCATATACATTATAAAACCGGATCAATTTAGAATAATCATACAAACTATAGAATCAAACTGAACTAATCATATAAACTATGGCATCCAACTGAATTAGATACAGTTCTACTCATTACAATGGTTTAATTTAATTTTAATAAACACCCTAATTTTAATAGTGAAATTTGAGTAACTCATGATTAAATGTAATGTGGATGCATTGTTTTTCTTGTCGAACCGTGTTGGTGGTGGAGGGGCTGTCTTCCGGAATTTCCCCTTTCACATTGTCTAATGCTTCCCAGGCCGAGGCTATCTTTTTTCGTAAAGTAGTCTTGTGGGCTTTATCTCAGTGTTATGATAAGGTTTGATTTGAATGTGATTCGTTGCTGGTGATTCAGGCTGTGAATGGCGAGAATGGTGGCCTGGTTGAGATTCATTATCTTTCTTTTGATAAGTCATGTTTGTCAGCATGGCAACGGAGTCATTTATGTGCTTGTTAAGCTTTCTCGGACTTATATTACAAGTGATATTGCTCTTATTCATAATCATGCTGATATTTTGGATTTGGCAGCAAAAGGTTATTTGTGTTGATGCTGTTGCTGTTTGTTTGCCGAAAAACAAAAAAAAAAAAAAAAATGCTCGGAATCATAATATAAATAAAAAATTTCGCTTGGGATGACAGGTCAAATGAAAATTATGAAATCCCTAGAATCAGGCTTCAAAATGTTGTACCTTTAGGAAAAACTACCCTTCATTAAAACAGTTCCAAAGTACAACCCTACAATCCACAACGTCATCACCGCTTTAACACCGTCTGTCTCTACGATGTTCTGTTTAGGGTTTTTCTAGGGTTTCCCTCTGTACCTTTAAGCTCATCAACTTTGCGAGGGGGAGAGAGAAAGAGAGACGAAGCAACCATGTCGACCCCTTCTCGTCACTCCGTCACCGGAATCTCATCGGAATCAGTGTCTGCCTCAGGCCGGACAGCAGAGAAGCTGAGCCTACCGGCACTGCAATCAAAGATGAAGTGCGACCCAGAAGGCTACGAGACCGAGCTCAACCTCCTCTACAGTCAATTCAAGTCCTCCATCGAGCTCTTCCACCAACAGGCGGCTCTAAACTTCACCTCCATCAGCGGCATCGGCAGCGACCCCACCGTCGCCAAGGACCTCGGCGAACGAGCCATGTTCTTGGCCCATGTCACTCCGTTCTACCCTAAACAGCTCTCTCAGTTCCCCAATCAGCTCGCCGATTTGCTCCGCTCTGCAGGTCGGTCACTTCCGTCGTCACTTCGCTGTCAAGTCACTCAAGCTTTGATACTTCTCATCAATCGCAAGGTATTGCAGAACTGTCAGATTTCATTTGGGAAAGGGAATTCACTTGATTGTTGGGTTTTAGGTTGTCAAAATTTTGAGTTAATACAATTGAATTATTTAGCTTAATATCGTTGGAAATCAATCATATAGAATTTTCATCACTTTTGATATTGCTGTTATTTAGCTTAAACTCTTTAAGATTTGATTCTTCTCATCAATCGCAAGGTACTCCGACCCTGTCAGATTTCATTTGTTGTTAAAAGCTTTGGCCTTTACTGATATTTGGGTTGTTAGAAATAATACTGAGTTGGGTTTGCTTGCGAGAAAATGTTGGAAAAGAGAAGTCAGTTGATTTGATTGTTGGGTTTTAGGTTGTCAAAATTTTTAGTTAGTACAATTGAATTATTTTGCTTAATTATAGTTGGGTATCAATCAGATATAGAATTTTCATCAGTTTTGGTATTGTTGTTATCAGTGATTGCTGAGAAAATGTACAAAGAGGAAATATTTTAGAAATATTGAATGCTTGAAATGTTAGAAAAGAGAAGTCACTTGATTGCAGGGTTTTAGGTTGCCAAAATTTTGAGTTAGTACAATTGAATTATTTAGCTTAATTGTGGTTGAAACTCAATCATATAGAATTTTCATCACTTTTGGCATTGTTGTGATCGGTTATTGCTGATAAAATGTTGGAAAAGGAAATATTTTGAAATATCGAATGCTTTGTTTTGTTATTCAGATGATTAGTATTTAGGGAACAACCATTGTCTTAGTTAAGTATATTTTGTTCTTAAAAAAGAACTCTTATTATCAGAAATTATAACGAATGTAACAGGAGATTTAGAGTTTAATTTGTTTAATCTTCTAGGGAATGAATGGTAGGGGGTTTTGGGTATTGTTTTATTTGATTTTGATTTAATTGTTGGTTTGGTAGATGGTTGATATTGGGGAGACTCTTGCGCTGTTCATGGAGCTTCAGACTCTAGGGGACAGGGTTTTGAAGAAATTGGCATTCTCGCATGTTATTCATAGTATTAGGCGTATGAATCAGAAGCATAAAAATGAAGCAAAGAACCGGGCTCTTCAGAACATTTTGTTTGCAATGCTACAGGTTCTTAACGTTCTTAGCTTTTATAATGTGTCCATAGATTTATTTGTATTGGTTTAGATTTAATGTGAAATGCATTTATTTTTAAAGCAAGAAGATGAAGCAAAAGCGAAACGATCTCTTACCACACTTTGCGACCTTCATCGGAGAAAGGTGTGGTCTGATGAAAGAACAGCCAATGCGATATGTACAGCATGTTTTCATACATCGTCAAGGTATATATATTTCTTAGATGTTATATCATTTCCAATCTTGAATTTGACAAAGCTGCCTTTAAAATTGAATTTCGCAGGATCATGATTGCTGCTCTTTCATTTCTTCTTGATTGTGAGAAGATTGATGACGACGACGACGATGATAGTGATGGTTCAAGCAGTGATGATGATTTGACTACTCAACAGCCACATGTTATTATTAATAGAGAAGCCATCTATAAGGTCAGTTACAGGCAGCAAGACCTTTCTCAGGTTCATAGTCATTTCTTAGATATCTTGAGAAGCTGATTCTTTCTATGAGACTGGTTGGAGACTTTCACAAAATTTTAGTACAGAAGACCTCTCTCTGATATATTGTTGTGATTGGTAATTATTTACAGATATTTTGCATCTGCTTGTCTAGCATTCTAACTGCATAACTTGCAATGCGTACTGCATAAGGAATTTTTTTTCTTTCATCATAATTTCAGCTCTCTGATGGTGTTTTCAAACAAGATTTCAGAAAACATATACTCCATACTAACTTTCATGGCAGGTTAATTTATGTTTATTTGAATTCTTAGGCAAACCATAAAGGTACAGTTTCTAGTAAAAAGAAAAAGAAAGCAAAATTGGAGCGTGCCATTCGTAGCATGAAAAGGCAGCAGCGGATGTCATCAGAAACCAGTAATTCGAATTACTATTCACCACTCAACCATCTGAAAGATGCTCAGGTTTGTCAGTCCTCCATATAATATGTAGTAATATTAATTTTAGCTGTACAATTAAAAGAAGAATGCTAATTTATTTTCTTGCTTTAGGGATTTGCAGAGAAGCTCTTTTCTCGCCTTCAAACTTGCAACGAACGGTTCGAGGTAGTAGCTCTTCACCAATTTGGTATATATTACTTTAGCTCCACGTTTTCTATTTCATGTTTTCCCCCTAAACCAGTGTCTCATTTTCTGGTACTATTTGCAGGTTAATTTTTTTTTTTTCTCCAGGTGTTTCTTGCCTATCTGTCTTTCTATTTTGGGTCTGGCTATTTGGGATTATTTTTTTAGTATAGTTAGTGATTGAAACCAGATTTGAGAGGAAGAAAAACGGGGAAGGGATTGTTCTTGATGGAAAACGGTAAGAGAGAGATGTAATTTATCAAAAAAACGGTAAGAGAGAGATGTAATTTATCAAAAAAATGGTAAGAGAGAGATGTAGCTGGATAATGAGAGAATAGGGGGAAAATGTTTTTCTCTAAAAATGACTTTGGGTATGAAAAAAAGATAAATTGTGTCTTCTGTTCGTTGAAAATCCACCATGCTTGGCATCTTCTGTTCGTAATTCAAGAAAGAAATATTCTGCTTAGGCTGTGGGTTCACATTTCATTCTGAATCAATTTTTATTTTTGTGTCTTTTTACTTGTTTGCTATCTTGATTTGAAACGATGTGTGGGTCATTTTCTGCATCTGTTGTTAGGCCCAAGTAGTGGTTGAAAGGAGACTTTGAATGAGTTCTTGTTGGTTGATTTTCTTGATTTTTGTCTATTGCTCAACTCATCAGGTTTTGTAGTAAATGAAGAAATAAAAATTAAAAATTGAAAATATAAACAATGAAGAAGAATGAAGACAGTAGAATGGTTCTTTTGTTATTTTGTTTTTGCATTTTCTTGAATGCTTGATTGTAATTCTCAAATAGGGCCTTAGGTTCTTGTAGGTTCTCTAAGGAAGACTGTATGGTTGCTTGCAACCTTGTGGCATTTTGCCTTGCTTCCCTCCATTGAGAGAGCACCTGTACAGATTTTACTTTTCTTATAAACTTGCCCTTTTCACCGGAAAAAAAGACGGTAGGATGGTTCACTTATTGTGAAAAAAGGAAGTACAACATTTTCAAAAATTGAGCAGATTCATTCACGAAAATCCTTATTGTTGAAGGAAATTTTGGTTTATGGTTCTTTATAATACGCCAGACAGCAGTATCCATCAAGAAGCAACCTATTGCCTTGCCTTAAGCAGAGCTTGTCCTAGTTTGTTTGCTCCTATGATGAGTTCTAGCTTTGTGTTTTGTATTTTTTAAATGATTTCCTACCGAAGTGCAATTTTTGCTTGTCACTTCAGGTTAAGATGATGCTGTTGAAAGTAATTGCTCGAACTGTTGGGCTTCATCGCTTGATTTTACTGAACTTCTATCATTTCCTTCAGAAATACGTTCAGGTATGCTGTTTCACTTACGCATTGAAGATCATTTTTCTTTTTTGAATTAGTAGTATGACTATATTGGCATTTGCAGCCCCATCAACGTGATGTGACAAGTTTACTAGCAGCAGCTGCTCAGGCTTGCCATGATATGGTATGGTAAACATTAGCTTGATGAGATCTTATCACTGTAATACGTAGTTCTACAATCAAATTACTTCTTCTTGTTCCCCTTTTCATCTTTTAATAAACCTTCCATAGTCCCTACGTTTTCTTAAGGGAATTCTTCTTTTGAGTAGGTGCCACCAGATGCAGTTGAACCACTATTCAGACAAATAGTCAATCAATTTGTTCATGATCGTTCACGAACAGAGGTATCACTTTATTGCTTCCTAATAATAGTATTTCCTTAACATGCAGTAAATTTATTTTCTACATTTTCTTTTGTCAGGCCATAGCTGTTGGATTGAATGTGGTGAGGGAGATATGCATGCGCATGCCTTTGGTATACTTCCATCCGAAACCTTGATTATGAGATGTGCATAACTATATTTTAGTTTTACCAATGATTTAGTGCAAGTCACTGAAAATATTTCTTTTTCTTATTTCTGAATATGCTTTATGGCAATTAGTTGATGACAGAGGACTTGCTGCAAGATCTTGTACTATATAGGAAATCACATGAGAAGGCAGTTTCCTCAGCTGCTCGTTCGCTCGTTAGTCTGTTCAGAGAGGTACTATGAAGAAGTGGTTGGATTTGCTCTCTCTCTCTCTCTCTCTCTCTCTCTTGCGCGCGTGTGTATGTGCGCGCGCACGTGTATCTGTGCGTGTGTGTGTGTGTGTGTGATGGTCCTGGCTTTTAGGTGGGGTAAGATTCAGATAGACTAACAGAGCTTAATTGCAGGTTTGCCCCTCGCTTCTGATTAAGAAAGATCGTGGACGCCCTACTGACCCAAAGGCAAGGCCAAAAGCATTTGGAGAAGTGAATGTTGCTAGCAATGTACCTGATGTTGAGTTATTACATGATGACAAAGATTTGGATGGCAGTGGTGGTGATGATAGTGATGAACATGAATTTGGTTGCTCTTCTGATGACGATCAAAATGATGAAGAGGTTAATACTGTTAAAGAGGATGGTGGCAGTGATAGCAATGCTAGTCTTGATGAGGAAAACCAGACATTCAGTGACACTAATAGTGGCCTTAATGTAGATACTGAAAGTGACGATGATGAATTGCAAGTAGAAGATGATGTGGCTGAAGATGATAATAACTCCACTGACAATGAGGATAATGTCACTGATGAAGATGATAATGATGAGGACGAGGATGACTATGGCGATGGTGATGAGAGGGACGACTGTGAAGCATCCAATAATTTCCAAAAGAATCCCATGGATAATGAGGTTGGGAAAAAAAAATCTAAAGCACAGAAGAGGAAATTTTCTGATTTTGATGAACAATTGAATGGTGCTGATTCAAGTCTTCGGGCATTAAAGAGATTGGCAGGAGCGAAGCTGCAACCTGCATCATCAGATACAACGGATGGTATTCTTTCTAATGAGGACTTTCAACGAATAAAAAAACTAAAGGTGTGTGTCAACCAAAATTTTATCTGTTTGTTCCACTAAAGTTCCCTGTTGATTTTGCCATGCTTCTTTATTCTTTACTTTGTCTTTTATGGTATAGGCAAAGAAGGAAGCAAAGATTGCTTTAACTCAGCATGGACTCTTAAGAAAAGATTCAGATGCGAGGTCTACTACACCTTTCAAGGTTCCAAGTTCCGATCAACTAAGTCTTAAGAGAGTGGATCCTGACAAACTTGAAGTGAGTTCTCTATTTCTTAGTGGCTCACTTTTCATCCTCCCATTATGGGTCAATGTATAACTAGAGACCAAAAAATATATAGAGAATATATTTGTTAAATTCTCAGGAGTTGTTTTCCTCATTATTTTCTTTTTTGTAGGCTCATATGCGAATAAAGCTAAGCAAGGACGAAAGACTGGCATTGATAAGAGCTGGGAGGGAAGAGACAGGGAAGTACCAGGCTCGTACTGCTATAAAAAAGAAAAAGGTTTGCTTTTACACAATGTTTCTAGATTCTTAGAAATACACAGTACTTCCATTTTTTTCTTGTCCAATCGTAAACCTTCAGTCAGCATTTCGTGTGAGTTATAATTTCCTTGTAAGCCTTGTCCTTGATTGTCGGAGTTAAATGTTTAACATTCTGTGTTTTGAGTTAAAATGTTGAGCAATTTTTAGGGCAGTAGAATTTTGTTGACTACTACATCCTGTTTCTAATGTTTTGATTGTGAACAGACTGGTGGTTTGAGCAATCGGCAGAAAGAGCACAAAAAGGCTATGCCTCTTGCTGCAAAGAGATCGAAGGTAGCAAAATCACGAGTGGAGAAAAAGAAAAAACAGAATCGTTCTGGCAAACAGTTTCGTGGGAGGAAAGCATGGAAGTGATTTGGGTTGTTTTCTGATATTCCTTAATTTAAAAGTCTTATTGTTATCTGCTCTTAAAAATAATGAAACTCACAACTCAGAGAGAGAGAGAGAGCTTGCTTTAGTCACTTTTTAAGCCCTAATGGTTTTTTTTGGAAGAGTAGCCAGGTTTGTAACCAAAGCCCAATGAGTTTTCTTGTTCCTTTTTTTTTTTTTTTTTGAATTAAATTGTATGTTGGTGCTGATTCCTGTAATTGAAAAATTTTCAGTTCTTTTCTGACGTCTTATTTTGGCTCAAGTTGTAAAGTTACACTACTCAGGTGAATTAAGTTCTATTTCTAATTATCTTAAATTGATTATAGTCATATAAGGATCTTGTGGCAATTTTAATAATTTTTGTTACGTCCGTAAAACAAAAGTGAAAGGTAGCCTTTTTATGTACTTGTAGTTGATGTTTTAATGTTATTACATTATTTTTATTTTTCTTTCAATATCACTTCAAATTATCATACTTTGAGGTGATAATTTTTGTTGAGTACACAGCACAATTTGTGTTTTTGGTTACTCAGGCTTCTGTTTGTTGGCGGTAAGTTGTCAACTTCTGTTTGTTTATTATCATAATATCAAACAAGTTCCAAGATTATTGATTTTCTTATTTGAGATTTGGGGTTGAAGTGTGAAAAACATTTCTTGAAGCACCAATATCACCACTTTAAAACCTAACACAACTTTTTATTTTAATTTACACCATGAGTGTTAATTTAATTTAGACGTTTTTTATTTTATTATTTTAGCAGTTCGATGTTTATGTGGGATTGCACGTACAATCTTGTGCACCAAAAGTCCTCATTTTAGAAGAGTTCCATGTTATATATATATATCAAATTTTCACATTATATCAGTAAACTCAAAGAATCAAGATAGAAAATATAAATTGTTAAAATTAAAAAGCGAAGATAGTATAAACATTGCAATTGAAGATGAAAGGGTTCCTCAAAATAACCAATTTTGACACCGAAGATCAATCCATATAAAAAAAGAAGATGGATGGTGATGTGGTAAGTAGAATTGGAGTCCATTGGATATAATCGATGCAAGCTAGTGCTGTGTATATAGATTCACACACACACACATATATATAGGTAAAGTGCAAAAATAAATTAAAAAAAAAATAAAAATTACTATATAAAAAATGTGCAAGAAACACTCCATTTTTTTTAAAATGCATAAAAACTCCTGTATATGTCAATTTTGAACAAATTGTCCAACGATAGTCAATTTTGAACAAATTTTTAGGGTAAATTCCATTTACCTCTCATGAGGTTTGTCAATATCTCACATAAATCTCTTTACGTTTCATAATCACACTTATTTCCATTAATAATCAGATTTATGTAATTAATTCCCTTTTGCCGTTAAGCATCTGACGGAGGCAAATAGAATCTGTTGATGTCAGCATCAAAATATTGATAGAATGTCAATTTTATCATTCTAGTGCCTGAAATGACTAGCAAATATTTTATGGGCAAAACAGTAAAACACATTACCGTTATCAAGTTGCACAGCCCATGACTAACAAGAGAGGTAAGTGGAATTATGAAACATAGAAGAAGTTTATGTGGGATATCGAGAAACATAATGGGAGTTAAGGAGAATTTACCCAATTTTTATAAAAATTCCAAAATACCCTGAAAAGGCATTTTATGTATTTCAATCTATAATATATATATATATATATATATATATATATATATATATATATATTTTTGTGATAAAGATCCCAATTTTTTTTTTAAGAACCCTAAATTTTTTTTTTTTATTGAAAAATTAAAATTAATATATTTATTTTTATTTGTCTTGAGGGCAATCTAGGTATTTTAATTGTTTTTATTTGTCCAATTTTAAAAAATAGAATTTGTTTTTTAAAACACCAAGGGAGTATTGTTGTTGTTGTTTTTTTTTTTTTTTACACTTTAGGCATATATATATATATTTATATTAAATGGTATTATTTCGTATATAGAATAATAGTATTGGAACTGAAAGCTCGTTAGCCATTATTCTACAATTTCTGCTTGGAAACATAGAATAAGAAGTCGGTGATTACAAGTTACAACTTGGGTGTCGGACTTCATCGTACGTCAACGTTCACAAATCGAACGGTCTAAAACCATCATCACATTTAATATACGTGACGACAATCACACAACAAAACCCAGAGAGAGTCGCTGCGTTGTTTGATTGTTAAGAAAAGAATCCGAAGAGAGAGAAAGAGAAGAGAGACTATAATGATGAAGCTGATGATACTTTCTCTACAAAAAAAATTATTGTACGCTCGTCATCAATGAAATGGATGGAGTAAAGCCCACCACCACCACCTTCTTCAACCCACCTCTCTGTCGGTTGAGCCGCCGCTTTCGCTTACACTCGACGCCGATTTCACCCTCTTCACCGCCCACCCAACGACCATGATCACCTCCCTAAAACCCCATCTCGGATCTCCGCCGCAGATCCATCCCCACTCTTCTCTTTCTCTCTCATCTCTCTCTCATGGACGCCGCCACCTCTCGCCCCGCTGTAGTAATCGACAACGGCACCGGGTATATACACACACATATAGACATACACAGAAATATGTACAATACCCACCAACTGTTTGACAAAATGTCCCAATGAATTGTGCACTAATGTTATGTTCACTTTCTCAATGCAATTGCAGGTATACTAAAATGGGTTTTGCTGGTAATGTCGAGCCGTGTTTTATAGTCCCCACCGTCGTCGCCGTCAACGAGTCCTTCGTGAACCAGCCTCGGAGCTCTGCAAAGGGCAGTAATTGGCTAGCGCAGTACAGCGCTGGAGTTATGGCGGATCTCGATTTCTTTATAGGGGACGAGGCTCTGTCTAGATCTCGATCTAATAATACTTATAATCTCAGTTATCCAATTCGGCACGGTCAGGTTGATAATTGGGACGCCATGGAACGGTTTTGGCAGCAATGTATATTCAATTACTTGCGTTGTGATCCGGAGGACCACTATTTTCTTTTGACGGAGAGTCCGCTTACTGCGCCGGAGAGTCGTGAGTACACCGGTGAAATTATGTTTGAGACGTTTAATGTTCCAGGGCTTTATATTGCGGTGCAGCCAGTGCTTGCTCTTGCAGCTGGGTACACAACATCTAAGGTTGGTATTGATTTCTTAAGATAGCAAGGTGTAGGATGAACAATTTGATTGCAACTTGTATATGTTTTATACCACTCTTTTTGAGCATGTTTAATCATGAAACAATATGTGAGTTTGAGACTCCTGTACAAACCCATAAAGAGTAGTGATTTTCGATGACTTTGGAGTTATACACTCTTAGAATTAAAGGATTAGAATAACTGAATTGTATGTGAACCGGTCCATAATATTCTTGGTTCGTCCATTGAATAACAGAAATATGACTAGTTATAAAAGTGTATTACTTGAATCAGGATCAGTTCACAATATGTGACTTAAGGAGTAAATTTTACATATCTTTTAATTGGATGTGCTGCACTTTGTGTCGTGGGCATTCACATCTCCACTTCTCAAGATGACTTCTAATTGTGTTCCCAAATATACCACATCAAATAACAAGGAACAAAATTCCATGTTTTTGTTTTACTCCTTCCCACTCTACTTTTCTAGTTGTGCGGTAAATTTTTCATTAGGGACGATGCTAAAAGTTGAGACCAGTCTTCCCAAGTTGCCTTTCTCCGAATTTAACCAAAATTTTGAATTTTTGTGATGTTTAATTGCATAAGAGTGTTTGACAACTTGATTGAGACTGAAGCAGCTGTAGGATTGGGATTTGGAAGAGCACCTCGAAACATGGTCAATGTGACCATGGGCATATAAGTATGTTTTATATTTGTCTAGAGAATCGCAGATTCAGAGAAGAACCATGAAAGGTAATAGACTACAAGTAACAATTCTTTTAAGGGAGTGCTAGCATATGGACATATAGGAATAATAATTTCCTTGAGCAATAATTTCTAAATCTTACTAAGATTTTCATGTTCTGTTGAAGCTCATGTAAACAACAGTTAGCGGTTGGAGATCATGTTAATGTCATGTTCAGAGAAGGGTATTCTGCTATATGTATCAATTCGAACATTACCTGCTTATCATTCATGTCAGAAACCTTGACACAAACATAAATTGTTTATTTAGGAGGTAAAACATCGGAAGGAGGTCCCCCCCCCCCCCCCCCCCCCCCCCCCCCCCTCTCAATTTATTTATGAAAAACCTTGTTTGGGGGGTCTTTAAATAATTACTAATGGTGGATTTGAAAGAAAACTTACACGTGGCCTCCCCCAAAATTTTGTTGAAAAACATTATTTACTGGTCCCTCTTAATAAATAGTTAGGGTGAGTTTTGGAAAAAAAAAAAAAAAATGCCCCTCTAGAAAGAAAAAAAAAACCTTAGAGCTAATCCCCAATCTAAATATGGAAGAGCATGCACAAGCCCATGACGAGGACATTGGGTCTCAAGAGGGGTGATTGTGATGTCCCACATCGCCTTGATGGGATGGGGAGGGGGAGGGTAGAAGTTACTGGAACTTATAAGATGGGGATGCCTCCTACTTGTGTCATTGTGTATTAAGTGAGCACCAATAGTGTGCAAAGCGGACACTATTTGCGTGGGACAGGTCTTGATAGGTCAAATCAATTTAAACAGGACATTGATTAATTAAACGGGTTAATCAGCTTGACATGATTATGGCATGAATACGATTAAACCTAACTCAAACCCGTTCATAATCATATGTTTGTATCAGTTTTAGGAGTTTGTTACAGTTTCTAAAAGTTGCACCCTCTCCCCAACCAAAAACAAATAAAGAGAAACACGCCCACACAAAGAAAATAAAAGGAAGGGCTATTATGATGAAACGTCGTAAGAAAAGTATGGAAGATTATGAGTCTGCTGCAGTAAATCATATTTATTGAACTTGAGGCCTGATGTGCCTTGGTGGATGTGTTTACCATGATGCAAAACTGCTTGGATGTGTTATTTATTTAGATGTATTTGGTACAATAATTCAGAAATAACCTGATGACTAACCAAAAAGTGTTTTCAGTGGAAAATGTTAATAAGCTAACAGAATCACGAGTAATGACTTTAATCAGTTGGTAATTGATGATGATGTTGATCATTGTATAAAATCATTATATAAATCACTATGTTAATCAAGTTATGTTCCCTATTCGTTAAAAGCATGCAGAGACAGAAACTTAAAAGTAGTGAATAATGCGTTTATATGAGCTAAAGGTATATCCCTTCCCATTCTCTATTATACTTATTAAAAAGAAAGAAAAAAGGAAAGACCAGAAAAAAATGAAGAATATACCTTTTCATTCTCCATGCATAAAAAATCTGTTTGAAGTAGACTGGCTCCATGATATGCAATTTGTCTGTAAAGATATGCAAGGTGGGTTTTCTTTCTTTCAATATGAGACCTTGATTATCCATACCATTTGCATCTTACATGTATATGCCACTTCTTGTGTGTAATTTTCTTCAGTTTCACCCTTGTAGGGGCTTTGTGATGGTGCAAATGTGCCTCCACTGTCTTTAGTCACCTAAAAGAGAGTTGTTTCCTCCCCCCTTCTTCATTCACTCTTTCGGCCCAACTAGGAACACATGGATCCGGGTTTTGGAACTGTCATACTACTAGAGGCTAAGCATACATTACTTTTCCCATCAATAGTTATTGATCGATCTATTCATTTACTTATTACCTTTTTTGCGTTAATCCATTTCTTCAGTGGGGAAAACAATTGGAGATCTTTTAACTATCATACAAGAAGTGGAAATGGAAAAAAAAAATCAAAATCAAAATTAAAAAATAAATAAAATCTAATTATTATCACAATTTTTTTTTAAAACAAAGTTATTACCATCTTTATACCTCTAGTGTATAAGCATTTTTTTACTCTATTACAGGTCTTCATGCTACCTGATAGTTTAGGTGAACCAAATTCAAATGCATCCTATAACATACATGTCTACATGCGTGCAACGTCTGGCAATCATGTTTTCTTTTGCTTAAATGAATTATTTATCCTTTCCTTTCACATTGAATTTCCTTTTAGTGTGAGATGACAGGAGTTGTAGTGGATGTTGGAGATGGGGCTACCCATGTTGTACCTGTTGCAGATGGTTATGTTATTGGGAGCAGTATTAAGTCTATTCCCATTGCTGGCAAAGATGTTACTCGTTTTATCCAGCAGCTCATGCGGGTATGTCACCTATGACTTTCATTATCATATTGCATTTGTTACCTAAGAGCATGGTGGACAAAAACACTTGATTTGCATGGTAATTTAGATTGTCATTAAGACCTTGACCATCGATTAAAAGATAATCTCCTTGCAGCTTTGGCACATTGCCTAAGAGGGAATTGGTGTCTGTTGTAGTGCTCTTGTTCATTCCACTTCAATCTTGCATTTATAGTTCTATACACTATTTACATCAATAAACAGACTGTACCCTTTCAAATGCTCCCACATCAATATAGAACAAATGTCATGTTGTTTCGTTCATTTTGAATCTTGATTTATGTGAGATAGTATTGAGTATAGGATTGATATTGTTACCTCATAAGTGCCCTATGAGGTTCGCAAAGATGCTATTATGTAACTGTTATACTTCCACTCTCTAGTGGAAATAAAATAATGAGCCTGTTATCATGAACACTTGGAGCACAGTACCTTCTTACTCTATCACTCTTACTAAATGGATGCATGTGTGGTGGGGGCAGGCCCATAAACATCAAATTTATTGATTTTTTTAATCCATTTAAACTACATATATTATTTTGTACTTCTTAGTTTTAGAAAATACTATTTATGGACTGAAAGACTGGATAGTAATTGTTCAACTTTCTTGGTTTTTGCATTTTGATATTTTTTCATATAGGAAAGAGGAGAGCATGTTCCACCAGAAGATTCCTTTGAAGTAGCTCGGAAAGTGAAGGAAACGTATTGCTACACTTGTTCTGATATTGTCAAGGTGGTCTTTACTACATCAAGAACTTCTGCAAACAAAAAATTTAGGATACAAATAAAATTTGTGCCCTTTTGTTATTGTGTGTTGAACTGGAAAAAGTTATTGCAAATTTGCAATGCTTCATTTTACTTTCAGCATCGTACATTATTTGAATCTGAAATATTGATTCTAGGATTATTTAACTGACTCTTTGTCCTTAATGATCTTAGGAGTTCAATAAACATGACAAAGAGCCAGCTAAGTACATTAAGCAATGGAGAGGTATTAAACCAAAAACAGGGGCACCATACTCTTGCGATATTGGCTATGAACGATTTCTTGGTCCTGAGGTTTGTTTTACCTTTTCTCTCCAAGTTCTTGCTTATTTCGAACAAAATAGTTCATTTTATTGAATGTTGCTTATGACTTTTCTCCAAATATAATACACAAAATGCAAATGTCACAACTGGTACAGGATGACTAGACCCAAGCACCATAAGATTGGCATGACCGCTTGATAGACAACAGGTGTACAACAAAACCGAGCAATGATTAAAATCAGAAATAAATGATATTATAAATTGCATATATTGATTAATCATATGCAGCTAATATGGCCTACTTATAGAATGCAATGGTTCTTCTCTATCTTATAACCATGGAGTTACGGGATCATCTCCTCGTCTTCGATGATGTAATCTAGGTTAATGGAGTTGAAGTTATCATCAAGCTCCTCAATATCAGTAGGCACTGGCACATGTAGGCATTGGCAAGTCAACTTGATTGACAATAGGCTATATTACATGAAGATATCATGTACAATGAAACAAAGAAAAATGCTTATAGTTAGTTACTACTATGTACATTTTTGCTCCATAGATAGAGAGTTACTATGTACATGTGATATGCCTACTTGTAGAACATGTTGCTTTATGCTGTCAGGCATGAAAAACCCAATTACCACAACCCTATGTATTGATTAGAAACATTCCAATCTGATAGGACTCGTGGGAATTATTTAATTTTTTAAATGTGTTGTATGATTCAATTTGTTGCTTGTGAATGATTTTTTTTTTCCCCTTCTGTATGATGTGGAACATTTTCCATGATCAACATGACTTTTTTTTTTTAGGTAAACGATCAACATGACTTATTTGTGCAGGTTTTCTTCAATCCTGAAATTTACTGCAGTGACTTCTCCGCCCCCTTACCAGCTGTTATTGACAAGTGTATTCAGTCTGCGCCAATTGACACGAGAAGGTCTTTGTATAAGGTGAAGAAAATTATTAATTGTTTTTGGTATTCATGAATATCGATTTTGGATGAATTTCAATTCCATTACTTTCTTGGTTGTTGGCAGTTGTGACCCATGAGCCAATACCAACTTGAAATGCCGTACTCAAAAATACCTAATTTTTATCCAATTAAATTAATATAAAGAGATTGTTAAATATCTGACATCCAAGTGAATCACTCCACTCTTGGATGTTTTGTTGCAAAACTTAGTTAAATATCCGTTAAGCAGTGCTGTGGTAGGGACAGAACCACTTGGAGCAATCATAGATGTGCATTCAAGCTTCCTATAACATTATAATAGTCAGATATTGAATTGGTTCTTCAATATCATATACAATCAGTTTTATCATATAAATTGGAATCTATTAAATTGACCAATCACTTTTGTCTGGGTAGTTCCATTTCAATTGGATCTGTGAATAAACACTACCCATTTGCCAGAGCTCATATCTGATAGAGTGAAGTTTCTTCCATTTTAATGTTGTTAATCTGGGTCACACTGAACCATTGACAATTATCTTAAGTGATTTTTTTTTTTTTTTTTCATTGGCAAGAAACTCACGCACCCATTTTTGTCCCTATAGGGACTCGAACCGTCACCAATCCCTTTGGGAGGTTGAGGATATACCACTAGGCCACAAGGCCTTTGGTATCTTAAGTGGAATTGATTAGCACTCAGTCAAAAATAATATGAGATCTTTTAAAATTTCAGCTAGGCTTGTTCCTATAGTTTTCGGGGGACTTGTTTATGTGTGTGAATGTTTTATATAGCGTAACACCACTTGTTAGCTAACTTAGCTCTCTTCTTCCCTCCTTGTGGGTCTTAACTTGTGTGTTTGTCAATACATATGCCATGTTATCAAGGCATGCAAACGGCTCTGGAGGCCTAAATGCTACATAACATTTTGGCCTTTGGCAGTCACAATGTTGGATACCCTAGTTAAGGTTGGGATTGAACTGGATTTTGGGCCCAGAATTGAGTGAAAATTCACAGCTATGAAGTTCCATTTGCATGCTCTTTGGTGTCTAACAGCAAATGTTTGTATATATGAATTAACTCTAGTTTTTCTCTGTTAATATATATATTTATGTATGTATGCAATTTCCTGTTCTACAGCTCATTTGTTCTATTATTAACCTCAGAATGTAGTGTTATCCGGAGGTTCAACCATGTTCAAAGACTTCCACCGAAGGATGCAACGGGATCTAAAGAAGATTGTGGATGCTCGTGTTCTTGCATCAGACACTCGGCTTGGTGGAGAACTAAAAGTAAGCATTTTGGTTTATTGCTTCTATGCAGTTTTTTAGTCATAAATAGTATGAAAGGGTTGACCATTTTATTCTTTTTGCCGCCAGTCACAACCAGTGGAAGTCAATGTAGTCAGCCATCCTATCCAAAGATATGCAGTTTGGTTTGGAGGCTCTGTACTTGCATCAACACCAGAATTTTTTGCTGTATGTATTTGTCTCTTTAATCTAAATTCGTGAATGTTATTTTCTAACTAGCTTTCATTCGATGATTACATTGGCATTACTTCCTTGCAAAAATTTATTTATTTATTACTTACCAAAAAAAAAAAAATTACTTATTTATTTTTTCCACTGGCAAGAAACTCACGCACCCAATTGCCCCTATGGGGACTTGAACCCTCACCATCTACTTTGGAAGGTAGAGGAGATACCACTAGGCTACAAGGCCTTTGGTTCCTTGCAACATTAAGTACCAATATATGCATATGGGGAAATGAAATGTTGTAGCTCTGTTGATGATGCAGGCTTCTATAATTGAAGCTCAAATCTTCCTTAAAATCGGTACATTTTTAAATGAAATTATCTGGTTTTACTGTAATTGACTTAAACCGCTGAGCGCTATGTTACTTGGACTCCTTGAAAATGCATAATGTCGCCATATCGGATGCAACACTCAGACATGGGTATGGTATATGTCTCCACTCTATGGGCTGGACATGCATCTACATATTTCTGTATTATATAATTGTGCATAATTCTTTCATTTAAGTTCCTTCTGTTACATTATTGCTTTGAAATGATTGAGAACATTATTTTACTCTAATGTAGATGGAATACGATGTGAATATTTTAACAGTGTATCCGAGTCCGGTGTCCTTGAGTTTGTATATTTGATAAATCTGATACTTAGATCCATATATGCCTCCAGCAAACGTACCTGAGTCCACGTAGCATAGGCTTAGCTGTGGACAAAATTAGGACCGTACGATGCATGAAAAATATGTCATAACAAACCATGTTCCAGTGTTCGGTTGGTTTTGGTTTCTTTTTCTGGTCATATTGCTGCTGCATGGGACTAACTTATTGTTCACTGTTAATTTATAATTTTGATTCAGACATCTAACGAGATATAACATATTGGTCTTGGTGTCATTCCAGTGGCAGTGATTAGCTTCCGCAGATTTCCTGCATGGTCACGTGTTTTAAATCATTATTAACTGCATTGCTAGGATCAGTTGTGTGGTCACCTTTTTTTGCTGTGTACAAGTTTCAGTTCTGGGCGTGCTGCTGTTACATTGCTTCCACGTGGAGCTAAAATTTGTTTTCTTTGAGGCATTCAACAGGTTATAGCATATTTGCTTCATGCTCATTTTAGTAGTTCTGCCTTTTGTCATTGAGTTCTCCGAAGTGGGAAGAATGCTGTTGTGGCCCAATCTTGGCATGTTCTAAATTAATGTTTTGCAGCCTACAGTAATTATGTTTTCAGTACTATGTTTGGATGTGCAGTAACTTTTCATGGACCAGTGTCTGAGATATACAGCATTTTTATAGTTATTGAACATCATTAGTTAGAAAGTGACTGCGGGGTACTTTCTTGTGCACTATTTCTGCTGCCATGAGATTACCATGGGTATTAAGTTTTAGCATGGCCCTTAGATTCTGTGAATGCAAAAAAAAAGACAATTGTTTATTTTGTCACATTGAAAATTTTCATTAATAGACAAGTGGCCTAGCGGTACCAGGCTCCCACTTCCCAAAGGGAGGTTAGGGGTTCGAGCCTTGGTGGAGGCATGTGTGTGTGAGTACCAATTAGGAAATAAAAAATAAAAAATTCATTCTGCCCTTAAAGTGAACATTCTTTTGGAATGTTTGCAAATTCTGGCTTCATATTTATTGATTCCCCACTATCTCTTCCTTTTTCACTGCTTTTGTTTGAATCGACTTGCTGACTAGATTTGAAGTTTGATTGAATAAGTTTTGCTCTTTCGTAGGCTTGCCATACGAAAGCAGAATACGAGGAATATGGGGCAAGCATATGCCGTACAAATCCTGTTTTCAAAGGGATGTATTGATATGAAGATCTAGGTCAGCTGATGATTTTCGAGGCATTTGTTAATCATAATGTCTAGATGGAATGCGTCATTATTCCCACCAAATATTTGCCTCGGCCAACTTCTGAAAATCCTCTCCGCCCTGTGGCCTTCATGTGAATTTACAGGTTTAGCTTGTGGGAAGGTGTTGTATAATAGGTTTTTAAGTCTCAATTGTAAGAAAATGACTTTCTTGTATTCTTTCATTAGGGAGTAACAGGTCTTTGCAGCCAATAAAATGCCGCTGCTGTCGACTTCGGCAGGACTGCAAGGCACATCGGGGTCAGATAAAAAGCTGTCAATTAATTGGACACTAGTGTTTAGCCTAGTTGTGGTCTGATAAGAACATTATTTTTTATCTGGTTTTGGGGTTGATTGTTCCATGTCAGTAACTTTTCATGTAGGGATTAAAATGGAGGAATAGAATTGTTATAGCGATTACAAGTTTGCTTTATTTGGATTTGAGCAGAACTTTGCAAATTGTACATTTTATTTTCACCATACTGAGCTCTTCCCAGATTATTAACAGGTGGTCTATTTCTTAGTAAGTGTAGTATCCATCCAAGGTGAATCAATCTATATGTTGAAGGCAGCTTTATTTTGATGTATAATTAGTTTTAGGGTAAAGTGCCAAAAAAAAAAGAAAAAAAAAGAAAAGAAAAAGAAACCCGGAATTTGAAAATAATTCTCTTGAAGTTTATTTTGTGCATATAATCCCCTAAACTATCACATTTAGTTGCAAAATACCCAAATTCCTTGATTATATTTCATTAATTGACCATAATACTCTTTTTTATTGAGTTACACTTAATCTATGTTTCTTATTGAAATAAATTAAGAAAAATAATTCATTCTAATTTTATGACATGTTCTCCATTAAATTTGCATAAATTTATATTTAATTTTTTTAATTATTTGTTTAAATAAAAATTTTAAAAGTAATTTCTTAAATTTTCATGAATATATTACATAAAAAAGAAAGTGTTTTTTATTTAAGTAATTTTATTAATTTTTCAAGAATATATTGTATGAAAAGATGGTACTTTATGGTTAAAAAGTTCAAAGTATGATAAGTTTTATTATAAATAGTAAAATTTTAATAATAAGTTAACCATTTAAAAAATGGTACTTACAAATCTTTTATTATTATTATTATTATGATAAATTGGTACTAATAATAAAATTAAGATAAATGATATAATTAATATTTTGATGAGAGAAAAGATAATAAAAATAATTTAATAAGAAATGATAAATTTAATGATAAAGGGTAAAATAGTCTTTTATGATAAGATTAGTTCTTAATTACAACATATCAATAGTTCAGAACGACAATTTGTAGTTCAGCGGTTACCCTTAGTATTATACCCAAAAGATAGTTCTATAAATATAAAAATTAGAAGGTTAAGAGGAATATTGTATTGCTATTGCCAAAGTAGTACTGGCTATTTCAGTGGAAGTTGATTTAACAATCATACGTTCCTTTTGCAAAGTGAACCTTTTGGAGGGGTAAACCATGGAGGGTTACAAGAAGATCAGCTTCTGGCCTATGAGTGGTGAGAAAACCCTAAAAAGTCTCTGCATGCTCTGGTGATTGGACAATTTTTTGGTCACATGGAAGCACAAGTGAATTGATATAATGTGTGTGTGTATAGATTTACATTGGTACTTTGTTTAGTAATCAATCAAATGATTGATTCTTTGCTTTCTTGTAAAGTCGTGCAAGTTTTAAATAACTGAAAAATAAATGGGAATACCAAACTCTTTTGTCATAGAGAACGCTATCATTATGCTAAGTTGATTTAATAATTCAAATACACATCTAAGTTTATCTTGTTTGGATAAATAATGAAAAAAAATATATATATTAAATTATATTCATGTTTAGGAGAATTTCAGTATCTAAGTAAATATATTAATTTTGATTAGTTTTTTCTTACATAATAACAAGTTGCGATTAATCGGAAGAATATAATTACTGCAGTGTAAGTGTTTGATAAAAAAAACAAAAAGAAAAGAAAGAAACAATCTCCCATCTCATGTTTGTTTTGACATTTTGTGGACAAATAAGTAGAATATAATTATTTGAAAAAACATGAGATGGCGATATTTTCTCTTGTAATTTCTTCTCCTCTATTTTTCTTTCAAATCCCTCAATCCAAACAGAACATAAGTCATTTCGGTCATTATGGTCAACTGCAACATACGTTAAATATGATCAAACAAATTAATCACAGAAGAGAACAAAAAATTCACAACACCTAACAAACAGAAAAAGTATTCTCAAACTTTTATTTCGATTCACAATATTCCCAAAAACATAAATACAGATATTTATAATTACTGTAGAGAGAGAGAGAAATGTACCAAAATCTCCAAAAACTATTTACGCTGTTGATAGATAGGACGATAGGATCATATAATTGGACGAAGACTCCGACACCACAGTAGAAACGAAAAGAGGAGAGAGAAAGAGAGGAGAATAGAGAGAGAGAGAGAGAGAGAGAGAGAGAGGGAGGAGAAAAGGGGAAAGTTTACGTGCATATCCGTCGTCTGTCTGACCTCCGCAGCTCAGAGGCTTAAGACAAAGGAAGAAGAAAAATGGAAGCATTTAATCCATAGAAATACTGCAAAAGAAACCCTCAATAGCTCTCTCTTTTAGTGGATTTCACTTTTATGGTCTTTGGACACATTGGTACGAGCCCAACAAATCGCGATCTGATTTTTGTTGTAATTCAAATTTTTTGTTTGATTTTTGACTTGTATATGAAATTTCTGTTGTTATTTGCTTGTGGGTAATTATGGTTCTGTATTTTTGTGTAACTACGATGTTAGGAATCGGCGGAAATGGCAATTTTTTGTATTTCTTTCGTGATCTAGTGATGTGGGTATCTGTTATTCTTGTGTTTTTTACGATTTATGATGTTGGGTAGTAGAGATTTTGCTTTAGATGTTGTGAAATTAAGGTGGTTATGGAGAAATTTACTTTTGATGGGACGCAAAAGGATCTACATATGGATGTCTCCTTCTGGTAGGCGTTAGATCTCTTTAGCTCTCTTGTTATTCATCTAGTATATTTTATGACTCCATTAGTTTTCATATATTATGCTATTTCAATTGATACCCATGATTAAGTATTGTCAGATTTGGGGTTTTCTCTGTGTATTACACTATTCACTTCTGTATATTAGCTTTCTGTTCAGTATCAGATGGATCTGTGTGTATTAGCTTTGCATATATATGCTTTCTATTGATTTAAAGTAGGAGACAACTTTAATTATTATCTCCTTCTGTTTCTAAAATAGGTGGAGGTAAAAAAATAGGTACTTTTTTTGAGTTTGTCTAAATGGATCCGATGGCTGAAGAGCAGATAGATTACGGAGATGAGGAATATCGGGGGGCTCAAAAGATGCAGTATCAGGGAGGTGGGGCGATTTCTGCTCTTGCAGATGATGAAATGATGGGCGAAGACGATGAATATGATGATCTATACAATGATGTTAATGTTGGAGAAGGTTTCCTGCAGCTGCAGCGTTCTGAGGCACCAGCAGCATCTGTTGGTGGAGGCACCCTTGGATTCCCAGAGCAGAAAACTAATGTTCCTGAACCTAGAGCCGAAGCAGTGGTGCCAAAAGACCTAAGCATTGCTGGAGTTGCAACTGAAGGGAAGCATCTGAATGCTGTGATCCGTTTCCCTGAGCAGAAGGAAGGGTTGACAGCTGATGGAGGACAAGGAGTGGGAACAATTGATATTTCACAAAAACAGAGGGTTCCAGAGATGAGTCATGATGCTCAAACAGGAAATCTGGGGTTTCGAGGATCAGCTCCTATGCCCCACAAAATTGGGGTTGATCCTACTGACATGCCAGGAAAAGTTGCCAATGAGTCTGCTCCGTTGCTAAATTCTGGCTCAGGTGGCCATAGAGGTGTCTCACAGATGCCAGCGCATCAAATGGGTATGAATGCAAATGTGAACGTGAACCGTCCACCAGTTAATGAAAATCAGATCCGGCCACCTGTAGATAATGGTGGAACCATGCTTTTCGTGGGAGAACTACATTGGTGGACTACGGATGCAGACCTTGAGAACGTATTATCACAATATGGGAGGGTCAAGGAGATTAAGTTCTTTGATGAGAGAGCTAGTGGTAAATCCAAAGGTTACTGTCAAGTTGAATTCTATGATGCGGTCGCTGCGGCTGCATGCAAGGAAGGAATGAATGGTTATGTTTTCAATGGTAGAGCTTGTGTGGTGGCATTTGCTTCGCCACAAACAATTAAGCAGATGAATGCTTCTTACATGAACAAGACTCAGAACCAGCCTCAGTCTCAGTCACAGGGAAGGAGGCCTATGAATGATGGGGTGGGAAGAGGAGGTGGGGGGAATAATTATTCCGGTGGAGATGGGGGCAGAAATTATGGAAGAGGTGGGTGGGGACGAGGAGGGCAGGGAATACTCAACAGAGGTCCTGGGGGTGGACCCATGAGGGGAAGAGGAGGGGCTATGGGAGCAAAGAACATGGTTGGGGGCGGTGTTGGGGTTGGAAGTGGTGCCAATGTAGGAGCCTACGGGCAAGGCCTTGCAGGCCCTGCTTTCGGGGGTCCTCCTGGTGGTTTGATGCATCCTCAGGGTATGATGGGTGCTGGATTTGATCCAACTTTTATGGGTAGAGGAGCAGGTTATGGAGGCTTTTCAGGTCCTGGTTTTCCTGGGATGCTTCCTTCATTTCCTGCTGTTAATACTATGGGACTTGCTGGGGTGGCTCCCCACGTGAACCCTGCCTTTTTTGGCCGAGGAATGGCAGCTAATGGAATGGGAATGATGGGGACCACTGGTATGGAAGGACCTCATGCAGGAATGTGGACTGATGCAAGTATGGGTGGATGGGGAGGGGAAGAACATGGCCGAAGGACAAGAGAGTCAAGTTATGGTGGTGAAGATGGTGCCTCTGAATATGGGTATGGAGAGGCGAGCCATGAAAAAGGGGTAACATCAAATGCTGCTTCTCGGGAAAAGGAACGTGGTTCTGAGCGTGATTGGTTTCCCTCTGAGAAAAGGCATCGTGATGAGAGGGAGCATGATAGAGACAGGCCTGAAAGGGATTACAGGTACAGGGAAGATAGAGATGGTTACCGTGACCATCGGCCGAAAGAACGAGACTTGGGCTATGAGGATGACTGGGATAGAGGACAGTCTTCTTCGAGATCTCGGAGCAGGTCCCGGGCAATTCCAGAGGAGGAGCACAGGTCTCGACCAAGGGATGTGGATTATGGGAAGCGGAGGCGCATGCCATCAGAGTGAAGCAGTCGAGCAATTCATTCTTGTTGGCTAGGTCTTATGAGACCTCATTCTATCCTTAATGTTCTTCCTTCTCCGCATCTTTTTGTTGGATTGCTACGGTGCTTCAACGTTGTTCTTTCTGGTTTCTGTTGGTGTCACATGCAGACTGTGGCGTGAGTGACAAAGTAAGTTCCACAAGTGTCGGTAGGAGGGAAAATAGATTCTCCCTTGCCTTTCGTTATGCTCTCCACAAAACATGATTTAGTGAACACTTAATACTTGTGCTAAAATACATTAGTAGCTTTTGGTAGCATACCCTTTGTGGATCTACTTTTATTTTATTTTTTCTGGAATGCCATGTGGATTTGCTTTTGAATGAAGTAGAACTGCTAAGAACCTGCTGCTGGCTTGTCCCATTGGTTTAATCTCTGTACTACCAAATCCTTTTTTTTTAGGGACAATTGCTTCTCAAGTCATATGACCTTGAGTAGCTTTAAACTTCTTGTTATTTGATATGATTGTTTGAGTCGGTTGTCCTTCATTTTCATTGCAGATGCTTTTTTGGCTTAATGAAAACTTTTAACTACTGTTAGATGCATAAAACAGTATCATTGCTTCATTATTCTTGTAGTGATTCCTTTTATTTTCAACATATCTTGTTGGTTCATGTTTATTTACAGAAGTTGTACCATGATCTTATGCCCCCAATGATGCTTAGCTATCAAACTAAATCTTTCACTTACATTTGGCATCAACTTTAGGATGAGTACTTGTTTTCTCCATGTTGCGGGCTTAGTTTTGTCTTAGATGGTTTTTGTGCGTAATTAGCATGCTTATGTGTATATATAACATAAATTCATGTATGAGCACATGTGTCTTACTGATTCTGTCAGATTAGTTTTTGTTTTGATCTTTGATTTTGAGCAGGATCAATTCAAACTTTGCTTGCAACTCTTTAATACGACATTAGTTTAGAAATACTTACGCATGGTGGTTTTTGCATAGCTGGTGTTTATGAAATAGTAAAAGATAATGTGTAGTGGAATGAAGAACTAATAGCAGAGCTATCTTTTATTGGTTTTAGCACACTTTACGTATATTTTTTTTGTTTTTGTACATTTTTCACCGAAAGGTTAAAGAAATTGCCAGTGCCATCTGGGGTGGGTCGGGTGGCACAAGTTGTTATTGGAGGATATGGGTAGATCTTGTTGCAACAAGCAGAAAGAATTTTATTGTTCCTTTGATGCGTATCTTCATAAGATTCTGTTGGTTTTGTTATTTGGCTTTAACTAAACCAGATAATGGTTCCCCTTTAACAGCCTCTCGTAAGTTACCGTGCATGTTGTGTGCTTTCTCCCTCTGTTAAGAATGGTATTATGAATTACTTGGTCATTGAAGGACGTGGGTTGCTTGCTGATTTCACTTCCCTTTTGTTATTGAATTTGGGCAGTCAAAGTAACCTGATGTCTTTTACTGCCCTGGTTTTGGTCTAGGTTGAAACAAGTCATTTATGTTACTCATCTTATTAAACATATACACATATAGTTATCTATGTACACATAATAATTTAAGTGAATTAAGGCTTGTAAAATCAATATGTCAAACTTATTGACTTGCTCTTGAACTATAAATACTTGAAATGGACTTATACCATTCTACACGTGTTTTTAAGTGTCACTTGTTGGTCTTGGGGTCAGTAACCTTGTGTTGGTTAGAATGTGCTTTGAGTGGCAGTGTTCTACACAGAAAGTGAAAGAAATATCGCCAGTGCCATTAAAACCATTTCAGAGTAGCCTGGTAGTAAAGGGGGTATGAACTAAGATGATTACCTTAGGTGTGGAGAAGAACAACGTGCTTCCAATTAGGAGCTTTTGGAGTGAATATTAATGTACTTATATATGTGTATATTTATTTAAATATGTCTGTATATTTATATGTATATCTGTACCTATACATATTTTTTGGACATGTATATATATGTAAGTGTATAGATTTATATACATATATGTGGGGAAAGTTACATACAAAAGACGGGGATGATTATTAAATTTATGGTTTATTTGGTAAAGAAAGTCAAATGTCTCATGTTTGGCATATCAGTGGGTTGATGGAAGATCAGGTGCAACCAAACCCAAATCAAATTTGAAAAGCTGGAACAAGAATGATTAAAATGATGATATTGATAATAAGAAAAATCTCGCGCACACACACAAACATAGGGCTGTTGTGTTAACATTTCGTATCAAGTTTATAGTTGTCAACCCAAACATGACCAGTTTATTATTCGTATTAGAAATCCTCGGCACAACCATGAGCCTATTCATTAGACAGGTAACACGACACGACTCATTTAACTAGTTTAATATTAAATGGGCCGTGTAATTAATGACATTAAACAACCTGTTTAATAATATGTTTGATGTACCCAAATGAATTGAATATGTTGGTATCTATTAAACGGGTTAATCTGACATATTTTGTTAAACTGGTCAAATCGAGTTGGAATAAGTCATGGTTGAAATGGGTTGACCTAACTCGATTAACTAAATGAGTCAAATCAGGTTAAACGGGTTGAGTCTCAAAACTCGAACACAACATGATTAATTTAATGGGTTAATCGAGTTGACACGATTATGACGCGAACACAATTAAGATCAACCCAAACTTGCTAATTCTGTGTTGGGCTTGAATTGTATTGACAAGTGGTTTCCAATTATGCTGCCACTACATACAATAATATTTATAAAATAGTGAAAAGTATTGAATTGTTTCGATGACGATAACAACAATACACAACCTTTTCCAACCACTTGGGATCTGCTACAGGATCTTTTTTTTTATTCAGCTTTATCTAAGCCAATAGGCTCAGTCAAACCAAATGTCATCGTGTATTTTCTTACTAACTCTACTCATTTAAATTTTGACTTTCCGTACCATTTGCATTACTCTCAATATGACCATGTCATTCTTATTAACTGGTGCACTTAGTGGCCTTCTTTGATCATGCTCAAACTATCGTAATTAATTTTCTCACTTTATCTCCAATCGGTGCTACTTCGACCATCTCTTGTATGTGTTCATTTTTAATTCTAACATTTCTTGGCTTGTGCACATCAATCTCAACTTTGCATTATTGTCACGCTCACTTTGTGCATATGCTGTTTCTTATCTTCCCAATAATTTTCCCATAAAGAATGACTGGTCTACTAGTTTTGTATAACTCCCTAATCTTTAGACAGAGATGCCGATCACAAAATGTTCTAGGCGCTCTCCTTCATTTAACCCATTCTGCCTTGATTCTATGATTAATATTGTCTCCAATTTCTCCTTCGTTGTGAATAATTGAACGTAATAGTAGAAGGTCCAATTCTAAGTAGCATGAAGGGCACATAATTGCTTGGATATCTTGTAAGGCCCTCCATCTATATGTCAGTATTTTCCCTTTCAACCATGTGGATGAAATTTTCCAAGAAAGAAAATTGGAACTTAAAAAGTCAGGAGTTCTATAAAACATGTGAGCCCCTTGAGCAGACGATGAGTGCCTTGCTGAAACCAGAGATAGCATAGATATGGTATTTTCTTTAAGGCTTATATGAGCTTATAGAGGTGAGTGAGTTACTATAATTGTTTATTTGGACCCAATCATGTAGGATAAAATTATATATCAACAACTATTTTCTTTTTTTTTTTGAGTTTAGTTAGTAGTTTACTTTTGTTGTTCAATCACTTTGCTTAGATGACATCCTTTAGTTGCTTTTCTTGTGAAAGCTAAGCATTCCTATTCTTAGGCATTTTGGCTTGTTATGTCATTTTAAACAACTTCGAAGCAGAGACTACAATGTTAAACAGGACGCATCGACTTGATTTTTAATGTCTTTGTATTTCTGTCCTGTAGTGCTGTGTAATTAAAGGATCGATTAGGGAATATATGAACTTCTATGGATTTGACCAGGCTAGATGGCTTTTTTTTAAATTATTTTTTTTATTTTTTTATATATATTTATTATTATACTAGAAAGTTTTATATTAGCCTAGAGCTTGATATCAATTCATGATGCAATGCTCTTAATATTCTGTCCATGTAGATTGTGGCATACGTCTTGGGCAGTCTTTCTTAACGAGTTTTGACATGAGGATTTTTTTTTTTAATCATCGTATTCAGGGCGCAAGCTGGCAACTCTTTGATTTATGTGATGAATCAGCCTATGTTGGTTACTTGGAGGAATGTGGGTAAATTGGCTGCTTTCCCTGATTCCGTGGGAATCTCTATTGTCTGCATAGTGTGTTGAAGGAGCCTTTACTAAATTGCTTATCGTTTATGTTTCCTCAAGCACTTCATCAAAAATTTATAAATAGTGCTCTTGGGAGAAAAAGTCTAGGAAGAGTCCAAATCATGAACTTAATTGAAGGATATTGGAGTTAAGTTTTTGGAAGCAACCATCATATACGCGAGTCTGCATGAAGAGCACTATTTCATCTCTTTTAGAATTGATTTTATGTCTTAGGTTCAAAACATGTAATTGGCCTGTTCTATTAAGTATTTGTGTCTCATCGGCGAGCTTGTAAAAGTTTTGTACAAATTTCAGGTCTATACTTGGTATGATCTAGCTGAAAATGTTTGCTAGAGAGTTGGGTTGAGCTATGTATATGTTGTAATATAGGGTCACAATTCCAATTGTAAGTGGTCATTGTAAGATCTCAAGAAGTTGGTGTCTGTTGATGCTGCTGGATTTCTTGCAAGCATAAAGAACTATCAGATGTATTTTGTGTATATAATGTAAAGTGCAGCACGTAGTTTGGTTAGGAGTGCAAGAGTTGTAGATTGTTATTGTATTTTTGGGCAAAAACTGGAAGATTTGTGGTTTGCTTATAGTTGTTTCCCTCTTGAAGGAGGCATGCCATGTACCTTTTTTTTCTTCCACTTTTTGGGTTCATTTTTTCCCTCTGGAAGCAGTATTTTTGTAACTCTGATCTGTGGAAATTTGAACTATGTATACGTTGCAATATAGGGTCACAATTCCAATTGTAAGTGGTCATTGTAAAGATCTCAAGAAGTTAGTCTGTTGATGCTTCTTGAATTCTTGTAAGCATAAAGAACTATCAGATGTATTTTGTGTATATAATGTAAAGTGCAGCACGTAGTTTGGTTAGGAGTTCAAGAGTTGTAGATTGTTTTTGTATTTTTGGGCAAAATCTGGAAGAGTTGGGGTTGTTTATAGTTGTTTCGCTCTTGGAGGAGGCAAGCCATGTACTTTTTTTCCTTCCAATTTTTGGGTTCATTTTTACCTTTGGAAGCAGTATTTTTTGTAACTCTGATCTGGGGAAATTTGAGCTATGCATACACTGTAATATAGGGTCACAATTCCAATTGTAAGTGCTCATTCTAAGATCTCCAAAAGTTAGTGTTTGTTGATGCTGCTTGATTTCTTGTAATCGTAAAGAACCATCAGACGTACTTTGTGCATATAATGTAAAAGTGCAGCATGGGGTTTGGTTAGGAGTTCAAGAATCGTAGATTGTTATTGTATTTTTGACTGGGCAAAAACTGCAAGAGGAGTTGTTTATAGTTGTTTCCCTCTTGGAGGAGACACGCCGTGTACTTTTTTTTCTTCCACTTTTTGGGTTCATTTTTCCTTTTGAAGCAGTATTTTTGTAACTCTGATCTGGGGAAATTTTTTGTACGATTTTGTTAAGTTTTATTAATAGGGAAGCGAAATGTAGAGTTATTTACATTGTATTAGACATTTTGGTGTTTGGTCCTGCTATTTTTGCTTATGAAGAGCGACATCATTCTTCTTGATGGAGGTACCGGACCTTTGGCTATCTGCTTCACTGTGTTTTTCTCCTGGCTTCTACTTGCTAATGCTTGATAAGAAAGTTCTGATCATTGCATTAGTTGTACAGTGGTTTGCTGCTTTTTAATGTACTTTTTTACTTGCTAATGTTTGAACTTGTAATGACCCAACTGGGATTTTGTTTAGTGTGTTCAATTTATTTTTATTTTTATTTCTTTTTTCAGCCCTTTGTTGTGTTCGCAGGCTTTAGCACATAGTTTACTCTGCTTTTAATGTACTTTCCTATCCAAGTTTAATTTCACAAATTGTATTCTTGTATCAGATTAATCCAACTGGTATTGTTTTCTGAACTCTGCCATGGTTTTTGTTACGAGTCTGTATTCATTATGTTATTAGTTCTAAATCAAAATAGTGGTCGATAAATGTAAGAAATTTGCCCAAGAAAGGAGAAATGTATGTATGTTATGTCGGATAAAATGCATTTATTGCGAGTTTGAGCTATAATCCAGTCATGTTATATTTATTTATGATGTCCATGCTGTGCCATATCCTGAACCCAGATTATCTGCTCGTTGTTCTCACCACTGATCTCATCTTGTGCTTTTCAGTTCTCCATTAAGAAGATTTTGTTTCCGTTTGTTCTTCTGATTATCGTTTCAGTGCATGATTCTCTTTTAGTCATATATCTGCAGTCCTGCATTTCAAATTTATTAGGTTTTCATTCTTCTAGATTTTTTCTAGTTGAAAGCTCGTGTTTTGATTTATTTTTATAGTTGTATGTTGTTGAAAGGGCTTGTTTTCTAAGTAGCATGATCATCTCTGTTACTATGCTGTACGTAGCTTGTGCATTATGTCCCAAATATATTACAAAATACGAAATGCCGAGATGATGACGACGACATATTCTTCTTATCATCTGAGCATGCTGCTGCAGGTTTTCTGGGGTGCCCCTTATTAGGAGATTTGTGAGATATTACGGGCTGATTGGTTCAGTTTTTTGAATACATTTCTAAACTAAAAACTGGTTTTTAGAGAACTATAAAGGACTGTTCTCTGAACCATTTTTAATGGAGTTTTTAGAAAACAATTTTTACAACGCTGTCAACCAAACACATTTTGGCACTGTTTTCTAATTTTCAGTTATATGAAAACAGATAGCTGTTCCCAAAAAACTAAATCAAACAGGCCATTTGCTTCTATTAATAAGACTTCAAGGGGACTCCTGGAATTACATCTAAACTTCATTTTAGTTGATGTTCTTTCTGGTTTTTATAGAGTCTGTTATTATTGGTGATAAAATGGACTTTGCTTATGTGACTCGTACTTTTTTGGTTGAAATATTGTATTATTTTAATGTTGTATATACACAGTGAAGGGTTGGAGTGAAGCCGTTGACATATTGTAGTAGTTAACTGTTATTGTTTTATATATTTACATGTGTAAATTTTTAAGTTTTGATAACATCGTTTTTCTCTGATTTTTCCATGGCTAGTTTTGTCAACATTTGCGAGGTTTGTTTTGCTTAGGCAATGTGTTTAAGATACTTTTGTTTAATTTTGGGTGTTTGGGTTGAATTATATTCTAATTTTGCTGTTTCTTAATACTATTTCCTTCCGTTTATTTTTCGTTTTTCTGACATTTACATGATCCAGATATAATTTCAAGATCACGCGGTATAATATCTTTGTTATGTATGTATTACCATGATCTAGGTTTGAGGTTGCTTTCTTTTTCTTGGTTTAGAATTGTGATAAATCTTAAAATGTTTTTTTTTTTTTTTTGGAATACTCTCTATTGTATTTTAGGGCCCATTTGGATCGTGATATGTTTTAGGATTTATGATTTTAGTTGATACCAAAATTACCGTTTTGGTATTGGAGTATTTTGAGTACAAATCGGAACCATATTTGGTAATAAAAATTTGTTTTCTTCGACATAAAAAACATGAAAACGCGTTTAGTAATGTCATGTGTTTTAAGGAATCCGAAAACAAAACACGTTTGGGATGTTCTTTTTGTTACAAAAATTCTAAATCAATAACAGAATAACTGTTTGGTAAAAACTATTTTATTTTTGTTTTGAATAATTAAATATATATTAATACAATTATAAATTTATATGTAATAGTCCATTTTTTTTTTATGATTTGAGATAATTTTCAAGTACTTTAATACCGACCCAATTGTGCGCGGGTGTTTTTTTCTTTTAATTGTTGGGGTACTTATTTAGGGAAAAAGTGGAATTAAAAATAGATCAGTAAATGAACAGTACTTTGTGCATCGCAAAGTGAAAATGATGCAGTGTCTCAACTTTGCAACCTTTTTTGGTCCATAACTTCTACTGTATGTGTTAATAAGCGTTTTAGGAATGATGGGCTCGCGATTGTCGATTGCTGCATCCGGGCAATTCTTGTGATTGATTTTCAACTAATCACAATAAATGTTGTATAACAAAGAATTCTTCTGTTATGATTGATTTTTAACCAATTATCAGGACGATTGCCGATGGACAGTTACAGCTAGCGATTGTTGCTAGTATTTTTCTAAATATTTTAAAAAGAGGAAATTGCCTATTTTTATTTATTTTTCCCATTGGGAGGTTTTGTGGTGGTTAGTGTTACTCTTTGAAGTTCTTCCCGTGATTAAAAACTGAAAAATGTAGTTAATATTTGCAACTCATTTTGATGAACAAATGTGTATGTTGATAACATGGTTCGCAGTTGCAATATCGATCGGTGATGATATAACGGGTTCGGACGAATATCGGTACAAACCGACTGATGTAATGATATAAAATCCTTCAAAAAGGGTTATGAACTGGCCGATACGTGACGTATCGGCCTATATGGCGGACAGTGGTTGATAAACCCAAGTTAGATGATGAAGTTAGCCATTGCCTCAGTCATCTTAGTTGTGTGTGTGGAATAGATTCATAGATAAATTATTGAAAGTATTATTCATTTTAGACAATACAGGTTAGACTAGAAACAAACGAAATTCTGTGGCCTATGTACTAACAAATAACCATTTTTTAACTGAAATTCTCTTAACAAATGTCTATGCCCTTAAATCTCTTGGCCTCCTTAAAGCTCACCAAAACCATCCAACCTAATGTATCACACATTTCCCTTGCATGTTTCATGCCCGAATATTTCCTATCCATACCTAGAAAATTTCTGCATTCTGAAAACAAAAAAACAAATGGTAGGTCGAATTGGGGTCTTTGCACTTCTCTTTTACGCCGTGGCCGGCTTGGTTTTGGCCTTGGGCGAGGCTTCCATGACTTCCAAATTAGATACATCTTTGGATGCTTTTGATAATCCTGAAAATGATAGCATTGGCCGCGACAATGGTGCCACGAAATCTATTCATGGACCTGTTCTTGATCATGGTTTAAGCACTGTGGTCCCAAAAACTCCTAATGATGCTGCTGGTACTGGTCATGTTGGTGGCACTGCAGCTATTGTTGGACCGATGCTTGATCAGGGTTCAAGCACAGCTGCCTCCGAACCCTGTAATGATGCTGCCAATGATCCTGCTGGTAACACTGGTGGCGATAATGACAATGGCGCCGCGACACCACCTGATGATGGTGAAGAAGATCTTGATCGAGTTTCAAGCACTCCGGTCCCGAACACTTCTAGTGATGCTAAAAATGATCATGTTGGTAACACACGGGTTGACAGTGTTGCTATGCTACCTGTTGGTGGACCGGTTCTTGATCAGGTTTCAAGATCTGCGGCACTCTCAAAAACTTTTAATGATGGTGGTAACTATGGTGTAGGTTACACTGGTAGCGGCGACAGTAGTGGTGCTACGCCACCTGTTGGTGGACCGGTTCTTGTTCAGGTTTCAAGCATTGCGGTCCCGGAAACTTCTCGTGACGCCGGCAATAATTATGTTGGTAATGTTGACGACCATCTACTTTAAAAGTTCAAGTTATTAGAGAGGTGTAATTTTAATATTTAAATCACTAAACACTTCCCCCTTTGTGAACATTTTTTTGGTCTAACATGTATTTCAATTTTAATTATACACATGACCGGCTCTGATATTATATCGACAATTATTGACTTTAAAAGTTTGATGTAATTTTAATATTTACATCATTCATCAGGTGACACTTGGACTGTTGCCACATCACCTGTTAGTGGATCTATTCTTGATCAGGGTTCAAGCATTGGCGGCAACAGTGGTGCCAAGGCACCTGTTGGTGAACTGGTTGTTAATGAGTTTTCAAGCACTGCAGCCCCAAAAACTTCTAATGATGACGACAACGATCATGTTGATCGTGTTGAGGTTTCAAGCTCTACGGCTCTAAAAACTTATAATGACGACTATAAAGATCCCGACGATCAGGTTTCAAGCATAGCCCCGGCTCCATCACCTGAAAGCGGTGCAACCATAGATATCTCTGCCAATGTGTCCGGAAAGTCCAAAAACCTCAACATACATTCCAAAAAAGTTATAGTGGCTTCTAGCTTGTTTCTTCTACTAATTAATTAACTACATAGTTTTTTTTTTTTTTTTTTTTTTTTTTTTTTTTTGACGATGATGGTGTTGGGTCTTTTACAGCACCCTAATTCTTTCGGTTATACATTGATATTGCTTTGAAGGGGGCGTGTGCCTTATTCAATTAGTCTTGTCTCATTAATCCATTTATTCTAATTAAATTGGAAAATAATTCTTAAATCCCAATAATTATTCAATCTCAGTATCAGCTGAGTTGTTTTGGGCTGGACATTTCAACTAGAATGTTGGGCCTTTTGATCACAACCCAATTAAACCCCATCATAATACAAGACAAGTGATTGGGACAAACTATTTAAATTCAAAATCTAGAAGGATAAATTCTCCATACAAACTATTTAATGAAAGAATTAGAAGAACTTGGAAATTATAGTTTAACAAGTTCTCTTTCAACCTTGTAAATATAAAATTTAAGCTTTGATATTGATATTAGTTTTGTTGTGATGATTAGATAAACTGACCCTGATTAGACATATTGATATTTAGTGATTAGAATAGGATAATTTTAGTCGTTGCCTCAGTCAACTTGTGTGTGTGGATATATTAGTACATAAATGCTTGAAATTTTCTCAATGGTATATGAATAGTAATAACAACTGTGGAAATGTGTGTGTGTTTGCTTACTCTTCTTTTAGAAAATACTACAAGATAATATTAAACACAACCCAAAATCTATGGTCTATGCACCAACAAACAACCACTTTTTACCTGAAATTAGTACGAATCTCATGCCCTTAAATCTCATGGCCTCCCTTAAGCTCAGCAAAATATCTAACCCAACATAGCCAATTTTCCTTGTTCCATGCACTATAATACCCGATCCATGGCCTCTCATTTTCTTCATACATTCCCAAAAAAACGAAAATGGCACGTCGAATTTGGGTGTTTGCACTTGTCTTTTTCGCCATAGTTGGATTGGCTTTGGCCTCCCATGATGATTCGACTACTTTAGACGACGACGACAACGGTTCCACACCTGTTGATGGACAAGTTCTTGTGGGTGAAGAAGAGAAAAAAGAGGATTCGGCACCTGTTGATGGACGGGTTCTTGTGGGTTATAAAATAGAACCAGATAAAAAGAAAAAAGATTGTTCGGCACCTGTTGATGGACGGGTTCTTGCGGGTTATCGAATAGAACCAGATAAAAAGAAGAAAGAAGAGAAAAAAGATGATTGCAACAACTAAAAGAAGGAGAAAACGAGATCTAAAACTTGGTTAGAGCGGGATCGTTCAGAGCACTTATTTTTATGCTATTATTTGTCTATCTTATTAGTAAATGTTTTCAATATATGTTCCTATGCTAAAGACCATTTTATACCATGTGAAATAATAAAAATGTAATTTCGTCAAATGTGTTTGAGTTATAATAAATAATCTTATTTCTTCTATATTAATGCTTTGTTTGGTATGAAGGAAGAAAGAGAGGTGAAGGAAGATAGGAACACTCTTCTTCGGTAATCTGTTACTGTAACTATTTGAAGTTCTTCCGGTGATTCAAAATCGAAAAAATTTAGTTATTGCATACCCATTTTGATGAACAAATGTGTATGTTGATGAACAAAGTTAGATGATGATCTTAGTGATTGCCTCTGTCAACTTAGTTGTGTGTGTTGATTCTCATACATAAATTCTTGAAATTTTCTCATAGAGCATGAAAGTATTCATCTTTTAGACAATACAGGTAATAATACAAACAAACTAATTCTAAGTTTTATGCACTAACAAATAACCATTTTTTAACTGAAATTATCTTAACAAATGTCTACGCCTTTTATATGAGTTGCGCTATGCGGAATTGGTTGTGGAATATTATTTGAAAAACACAAGGGTAAATAAGTGTGACTTCATCCTTGACTCAATTTATTTTTTTTTTAGAATTTACCGAAGTGAAAACTAATTATTAACTTACAAATCAAAAATTTAATGCAAGTAAAATAAAGTAGTGTTGAGAGTGACATCGAGTTTTTAACGAGTAAATCTAATTAGAGAAATCAACTAATTTAAAAATATATATATTGAAATCTATTACGCAGTCTTGACCGAAACTATTCTCTATAAATGAAGCAAAGTATAATGGAGACTTAAACTCATAACCTCTCTATGCTCTATCAATATATGTGTGTGAAACATGGGAAACCTGGGAAAAGAGGATTTTTTTTTTTTTCTTTTTCATTTCCCTTCCCTTTTCCTCTCCTTCCATGTTTTTAAAAACTAAACAAAGAAACAAAAGTAGAAGATTAAGCTTTGGCATGCATCATCTGACTCTCACTAAACACAACTGGTTGAAACTTGGGTCCTTCAAAACTGCTCATCATCGATCAGTCTCAATGTTCAATGACTTCTGGAACCACATAGCTTCCCTTAGACTGTTTATACACATCTATAAAATTGTTTTTTAATCAAAATAATTAGTATAAAGGTTGGAAATTTCAAAAAGGGGGAGTGTTGCAACTTTTGATAGTAGAAGGGGGTTATTTGGTGGCAAAAATAGTATTAAGTGTATTTTGTCACTTTTTGAAAACACGAGGGGTTTAGTGCAATTTGGCCTAAATGCTTAAATGTGTCCTCGTATAAATAGAAGGCCTAGGAAGCCAACAAGAAACACACCCTCAAAATAAGTAAGAGTGAGAAAAAGAGATTTGAAAAAGTATTTTCAAATTATAAAGTTTGAGTATTTGTGAATTGTATTAATCGAAGGGAGATAAATATATAGGATTGCGAAGAGATATAACATTCATGAACATATAAATTTAATTTTGAAGCTTAGTTGAATTCCGGAGATAGAGGGATTGGAGGCACATGCACCCTGGCAGTGGCCACGTGCACTATAATATATATATATATATATATATATATATATATATATATATATATATCTTTTTACATATATATGAAATATTTTATCTAGTGACCCCAAGCCACCCCAACCTTTTAATTTTTTTCTTTTCTTTTTTACTCTTCAAATTCCTTTGATTTTCCTTAAAAAATAAAAAAAATAAAAGTTAAAATTTTCTTTTACAATAAAACCTTCTTTTTTTTTTTCATACTTCTTAAAAAAAATTTATTTAAATTTGTTATTGTAATTTTATAAAGTCGATTAGTGTAATTTCGTGCAATGCATTTAAATTACAAAGACCTACAATTATATTCAATGAAAATATTATCGAATAATATTTTAATTCTTATATTGGTAAAATATTTATCTTTCTTGTATTACTCATGGATTAACATATTATTTTGTAATAATTTTTTTATTCTTTGCCCCTTAATTTGGACAATCTATATTTGTCATTTAATTGATTTTTTATAATTGAAATCTTGGCTCTGTCCTTGAGGAGATAGTATTATCATTTATCTTTCATTTGCACATAAATAAAATATAAATTAATTTTTAAAAAGTGATTACGCGTCACTAAACCTCAAACTTGTTTTAATATATTAGTTCCAACACTTGTGATAGCATTACGGGTTGGGTTCCCAAGTTTGAGAAGTGGATACGAGTACAAGGGAGCCCCTTAATTTGGACAATCTATATTTGTCATTTACTTGATTTTTTATAATTGAAATCTTGGCTCTGTCCTTGAGGAGATAGTATTGTCATTTATCTTTCATTTGCTCATAAATAAAATATAAATTAATTTTTAAAAAGTGATTACACGTCACTAAATCTCGTACTTGTTTTAATATATTAGTTCCAACACTTGTGATAGCATTAAGGGTTGGGTTCCCAAGTTTGAGAAGTGGATACGAGTACAAGGGAGTCTGTTTATACAAATACAGGATGCAACATTTTGATTGGTTTTAGAAGGCACAAATTATTCTTGATACTTACTAAATCACTGTGAGAGTGATGCCTAATTTACATTATTCAGGGATTAATATTGAATTTGGATCATGAGTTTGGATTTTTTTTTTTTTAATTTATTTTTTATTTACAGAGGCTAGGTGTTGGAGCAATGGAAATGTTTCTCCATTGTTGAGTTTGTATTTAGTACATGCCAGACATATTTTTGACAGACATTCTTATCAAAATTATATTACTTGCATCTGTCTATATTAGTTGTTTGATTATAAATAGGCGTGCACAGGTTCGGGTTAAACTGGTTTGGGAGTATTTTGAAATTAAATTCTCAAAGGAAATTGAACCCAAACTAAACCGTAAAACAAACAGATTCAAACCAAATCAGAACAAGTTCAATTATACTATTTTGAACTTTTTTTATAATTCTGTCCAATAACTAGCATACGTGTAACGGTTTAAATCCAATGAACCCATTTTCGGGCAAGAATTTAATTTTGAAATTTAATTCTCAAAGGTTCAATGAAAATTGAAACCAAACTAAACCGTAAACAAATAGATTCAAACCAAATCACGAGGGAATAAGTTCAATTATACTATTTTGAACTTTTTTTTCTATAATTATGTCCATTAACTAGCATATGTGTAATGGTTAAGTCCGATGAATACATTTTCAAGCAAGAAACTATCACACGCCCACTCTTACTTGTCACCTTTGACCTTGGGAGGTAGGTGCTTGCCCGCTGACCCAAAACTTAAACTATTGGGTAGTGTTATACCCATTTTACTTTTCATTTAGATTTGATGTGGGACACCTCTAACATTTTCCCTCATTCGAACTTACAATGCCCTTGTTGTAATACCCCGATAATTTTAAAAGATTTATTAATTAGGATTAATTATTTTATTTTATTTTTCAATGATTTATTTTATTTTATTGAGTGCTAGATTAATTATCTTATTTTAATTAAGTTATATTTCGTGATTATGTATGATGATTGATTGTTTGTGTGGTTGATTATTGATTGAATTATTGGTGTGTTGATTTTATTGGTATTATATGACTTAGTTGTAAATTCTTGTTTGTTTATGTGCTTCATGTAATTAGTTATTTTAATTTCTGTATTTAATTAATTATCTTATTTATTTAAATTAATTGGATTGGGCTTAAGGAAAG